TCCCTCCCCCCGCAGCTCGCCCCCCCCCCCAAAAAAAAACACAGCAACATAACCCCACCAACTTCACCTGTAGAGCTCCTTTTCGCTGTCGTTGAAGATAACCGCGCCCGCCCCAGACGGGCCGGGATTGCCTCGACAGCCGCCATCGAACCACAAGGTCGACCATCCCGCCGGAGCGGGGTTAAGCCCCCCGCCTTCATCGACCAGGTTGGCGTAGTCCGTGGCTTCCTCCGGTGTCTTGAATTTCCTGAAGTCGGCGCCCGGGAAGCCGTTCGTCTATTTTCGAGGGGGGGGGGGGGGGGGGGGGGCGTACTCTTAGGTTTTGCTCGTAAGCGGTTAGACCATTGACCACGCGTCTTCGAGAGGACGGAGTATTGTTCCCACAGGACCGATTACCGATGGTCACTCGTTCCTTGCTACTGGAAGGGGCGGTCAATCGTTCGGCACGCGGAGGGCCCTCTCTCTCTGTCTGTCTGTCTGTCTGTCTGTCTGTCTGTCTGTCTGTCTGTCTGTCTGTGTCTCTCTTTTCTCTGTCTCTCTCTGTCCGTGTTTGTGGTTGGGGTGCTTCAAGGAGTATGTGTGTGCCGTCTCGCTTATTGTGAACCGTCAGCCTCCAAAACGTTCGGCATATTCTTCGACGGGTCACCCAGGGTCACACACGAAGAATTCCACACAAGGAGCTTTCGTATTACTGTAAACAAAAGCCAAGGAAATGATGTAGATCAATGTTGCCAAGCGAACAAGGTAAGACATCGTGTGCAGCACGGAACTGACTCGAAGTCTTTGCTGTGTTCCAGCTCGGGCAGCCGGGGGCCTTGGCTTGTGCCCCCCATGGGAAACAACGGTGGGAAAAAGTCGTGACGGCGAGGGTATCCATTCTAGATACAGCAGCTGCCGCCCGCGAATAAGAAACGTCCATTTGGGGTCGAGGGTCGATTTCATATTTCGTTATCACCACCGTCGAATGTAGGCCAATACATTGTATATAGATTTAAGCGTAGGACCCAACGCTGAGGTGTGTGTCTTTGTCTTGGTCACTTTTATTGTTTTTCGTGAACATTTAAGTTTTTTTTTTCTTCTCCACTATAATAGATTTTTCTTATTGGCGGGCCGCAACTACTGCTGCTGTACCAGAGAGACCGGGCCCCCTTCGCGAACTGCCGCCAGAGGCCGGGATGTAAATAAAAGATGCATTATCCGGAACCTATGACACAGTAGTGATTCCGCGTACAGCAATCCTTTGGCGTTGGTCAAACCCCCTACCGAAGGCATGTGATGCCTTTCAGGGGTACGAAAATGATGAGAGAAGAGGGTTTGCAGTCGAAAATAGTTGAGGGTTCGTATGTAGTGCATCCACACGAGCGCGAGTCTGAGCAACGGGGGTATTGGATGGCGGTGTTGTTGTTGTTGTTGTTTTTCTTCACATTAAACTCGTGTCAGTTGCTAATCCCAAAATCTAGCAAAGACTCGGCCCGTGGTCACAAAAATGCTAAAGCCATCAGAAGATCTAAAGAACACGCACACTATTAGCAAGAAAAGGGTACACAAGCCCAAGGAGGTACACCTACAATCAATCCCTGCAGCACGTTTGCGTGCTCACAACTGACCTACATGCCCACACACTACAATTCGACTACAGCAGGCGGCATCGCCCCCCTTGTCCCGCACTTCACCAAAATGAATGTAACAACTTTCCAGTCTTGTCCCATACACGACCTGTCCTCGACACGACACCATGCTGGTACAATATCCGGTCTTGCGTGCTGTGCTACCGACTACCTGCCTGGTCGATACCCCAGTGTAGCAGCTTGCCTTCACACACCTATGTAGACTACGGCTGCTGCCAACCCGTGATACGACAGGTTGCCGTGCCACACATTTAGCTACACCAGCAGGTACGACTGCAGCCAGCTGTTGCAAAAGCAAAAAAAAGTTATCGTCGCTCTCATACAATACACAGCTGTGCGGCGAACAAACATTTCGGACTCGCCGACGGCGGTCAGTTTACATCGCCGTCACAACAACCTTGAGAAAATACGTTCGAAATACCAGACGACAGCAGTGGATGGTAATGTTGGTATTGTTGTTGTTGTTGTTGTTGTTGTTGTTGTTGTTGTTGTTGTTGTTGTTGTTGTCTTCATATGAAAAACCGTCCTGGTCTCCGCGCCAACCTCGTGTCCGTGCTGGTCCAACTGACGCGGACGCCAACTGCCCCCAAAGGAAATTAAAAAAAGCGGTGTTGGTTTCCATATGTTATGTTGTTTGCAAAGAGAAAAGTCATCCATCTGCAGATTGTTTTGTTTCCATCTTCGTAATGGCCGGCGCCGTGAAAGGGTGAACCGTGGGAAAATGGTCGAAACCACACCGTCTCGATGCACTGCTGTACAGCGAGCTGGACGTACAGCAGTCCTGCGGATGATTGCTACATAAGCCTGTCGTCACGCTCGCCAAACCGGCAACAGGCATCGTGGTATGGGCAATCTGCTATGCATATGGCTCTTCTCGGCATTAAAAACGTCCATTTCGCATCATCATCAGCGACAGACGAACGCCCCGTGAGCACATGCGGGCATAAACGAGAGGTAGACACACGCGTTGCCTGCAAGAGAGAGCGCTATCAAGGCAGAGTTCAAACGTGCACGAATCCTTTGCGCCGGGGCGCCCCCCCCCCCGGACTCTCTAGCTCCTGTACCACCTCCCCCCCCTCCTCCTGCCCCGCGAAAACAAAACACGAGTCTCGTGGGGGGGAGGACCCTACCGAAAAAATCAAACGCGCGCGCTCGCTCACTTTGGCAACCACCTCCGCCCATGAGTGCACCACGACAGGGGCACCTCGCCCCTTCCGAATGCCGTAGCACGCCGGCACCTTCTTCACCATGGTCCTTAGCCAAAGCCGCGCACTAATATGTGGATAGCTAGGGACGAGAGAGACGTGTGCTCTGCTCGCCGGCTCTGTGCTTGCATTTGGTTGAGAGCTAACACCCCTCTCCCCATCATATGCCAATTTTGTGGAAGTAGGGGGGGTGGGGGTTCCGTGGTACGATGTCGAAATTTCACCGCATTTTTTTATCCCCTAGGCCCAACCCTTCACGGGATCTATCTGTCGACGCACATCTCTCAACGCTACAGCAGTAGTCAGAGATATCAGCCGACCTAGATGGCGTAACGTGGGAGTTGGTGGGTAGGCATAGCGACTCTGGGCTTGGTTGTATGAGACCACACTATTTTACGCACACACACGTCGATTGTTTGACATCATCATCTCCTCCTTCCTTCAGAAGACAGACACCAGACACCAGCGTCATGCGACCATCATGGAATCATCACAGACGGGGCGAACAAATGGTGAAGGCGAATGCGGCTGGCCTCCATACGAGCTGTACACAGAATTTCGATGCGCAAGAAGGTTAGCTTGCGTGCGTCGCCTCAGCCAGTCCTCCTCCTGCACATTTTTATTTTCTATCGACGTTGAGACGATCCGCAGAGGAGAGAGAACCAACACCCCACCGACCGCCGGCTAATTCGGATACAAACGCATATATATATGCATACGTGTGCACGTTCTAGTTTGTTGTGTGTTGGCAACTGGCCAGACGATCACCACCGGTGCCGTTAGTTTGCGTTGATAAATCTCCGCTTCTGTTGCTACCGTTTCTGTCTTTGATCCGGAGAATATAGGTTAATAACCGTTAGTCTCCCCCATGCAGCATTTAGAAGTGTTTTATGTTCTGACGACGTATTTTCATTGGTCAGCCGGTTAGCGCGGTCGATGCTAATAATAGTAATAAAAAAAACACACATCCGAAACAGAGGTATACTTTAACGTTTCACCAACACGCACATCATGTTGTGTCGGGTACGACCACAGATCATGACTCTTGTTCGCAGGGGGGTTATGGCCAGACATGGAGACAAGAGGCTCCGCGGACAACGCCGTTATTCGGGAAACTCAAGAAGGGGGAGGGGGGACTTAGGCCATGACCAGCTATACAATATTCGGAGATAGCTCTGCACGGCTCCATACTGGCCGATCGGATGATAGTTGGAGCAGGCAGGTTCTGCGGGGCCGGACGGAGCGTCGGGATAGAAAAGAGGCTACATTGAGGATGGCGACAAGTCTATGTTATCTATCCCACAAGCACCAAGAAGGGGAGGTTTGCAGAGTGCACAATCGAAACTGAAGAGAGATCTACTCAAATCGACAAGTTGTTTTTCAACGATACATGTACTGTATCGGTCCGTGAGAAGCGCAAGCTACAGTACTAATAATAGACTTGAGAGAAAGCGTCCGGTGGGGAATCTAGGCCCACACTCCTGTCCCAAACACTACAGCGGGTAGGACAATTTAGAAAGCCGTTGTCGAACACGCGTGTAAAACGCAACTTGACAAATTCAACCTTCACGACGGGCACCAACGACATTGAAATCCTGGTGCTGCTTCTATGTTGTAAGTGATCGACGGTTGTCGTTTATAGCCAGCGAATCCCCACAGAGCGCCACGGTACGAAGCCGGGAATCAAACAAAACAACGAACGTAATCTTCAAATCGTGCTTGACGGGTACAACACGCTGCCCCCCGCTAGCCACCCACACACATCAATGCCTGGACCCGCACTCTACCACCTTGACTTCTCCAAGCCTCTGTACCACCAAGCAAGCCCCGTAGAAACCACCACCCAGCGTTGCGCGCTTGACCGCGGAAGGGATGGACCTTCGATCAACTTCCTTCCATTCGCCAACCTTCGACACCTCTCCCCCCGCAAACACCGCACCCCTTGTTCGGCCCACATAGGATTGCGACGCTACCTCAAAGAATTTCAAACACGTCGACAAGAATAGATTCATGTCTGGTGACAATACAAGTGGGCGATGAAGGTTGCAAGGGTGTGAGTTATGTAGGTCAGCGTCGACCGGCTGGACTATTCTCTTTTACCTATCACCGCCTGCGCAGCGAAGTTGATTTCCACCTGAAAATAAACGGATACAGTCAACGTAAAGCAAGATAACCGCCGACATAGGTCCACACTAACTAGCGACTGGGGCTTTCGGGTACACCTGCACCCGCTGCTATGAGGACACTGGGGGGGAGGAGCATTCGTCGGCGCTTGGCACGCGGGCACGCATGTTTCTCTATTGCTGCTCGTTGTGTCGCCCTCGCTGCTAACCAGTGAAGTCAAACGCCCTACTAAGGGAGGCGGGGCTTCGATTATGCAACCCTAAACCTTTCTGGCAATGGAGCTCGGGCTAGAGACATAAGCTTGTCGCCAATCGATTGGTTCAAACATCACACGCATTCATACTGACATCATGCTCACCCCCAACACATCATACTCACCCCCAAGAAACGAGGAAAGCACCCGGTTTTGGCGAAGCCGACGCACAGGCATCGTTCACAGATACCGTCATGTTCCGACAGACAAACCGTGCCATCGTGAGAGCTTCCAAGGCACCAAAAGCCGTTGCTAGTGAGACTAAAGAAAAGGAGCATCCTCTACTGCGTACCGTGTGCATCTGACATATCCCCTGCATCTGCCGGTCGTGTTGCCTCCTGGACGCATAGATCAAGCTCTTGAAGCGTGCAGGATTTTGTCACATTGCCAAGGTTGAAACCATGCGTAGCTCGCTGCTGCACCTGCAGGCACCGTCTTCACAATTCTGCTGCTTCTTGCAGCCGCCCGCTCCAACGAACGCAAACACCGAGCCAATGCAGCGTGTCGGCCACCTCCATGTTCGTCGGGCCAAGTGCGCTCTCTTGGATCTCTAGACACTGCCTCAACATCTCCTCCGCCTCCTCCAGCCGGCCTGCTTCTCGAGCCCATTCGCCCAGTCTGTACAGCGTGTAGGCCGCCCTTGTATCCCTTGCGTCGTCCTTATCCCTTGGGTCGTCCTTCGCTTCCAGGATCCCCAACGAGCGGCGCAGTAACCCCTCCGCTTCCGTCTGTCGCCCCGCCTGTCGAACGCACATACCCAGATGATACAGCGTATACGCCACGTCATCCCCGGGGCCCATAGCTTCTTGGATCGCCAGACACCGCCTCAACATCTCCTCTGCCTCATTTACTCGGCCAGAGGAACGAACGCAGATACCTAGTATACGCAGCGCGCACGCCACCATTGAAGATTCTGGGCCAAGCGTGGCTTCCCGATACTTGAGACAGCGCCGTAGTAAACCCTCTGCCTCCTCGAAACGACCTCCCTTTTGCACGCAAATACCCAGGGCGAAAAGCGCATTGTCCGCACTATCTTCCTCGGGGCTCACGCTGGCCTCCAGGAACTCGAAACGGCGCCTAAACAACTCCTCCGCTTCCATCAGCCTCCCCGTTTCTTCAAGCAAGCTACCCAGCTTGTACACTGCCATGCCCGTGTGGGAATGACCATGTCCAAGTTCGGCCTCCCTCACCGCCAGACAGCGCCTCAGCAACCCCTCGGCCTCCTCGAAATGCCCTGCTTGTCGAACGCATCCACTTAGATGTTCCAGCGTTTGAGTCACCGTTATATGCGTTGAGCCCAGCAAGGCCTCCCCGATCACCAGGCATCCTCTAAGTACCTCCTCCGCTTCTTCAAGCCGCCCAGCGTTCTCGTAGCCTAGACCCACCTCGTGCAGCGAGCTGACCACCTCCTCAGAGATTGGGCCCAACTTGGTCACCTCCATATCGCGGAGCCTGCGGCACGTGACAGCCGCTCTGTCCCAATCTTCCTTCTGACGCTGAAAATCTGCCACGGCCACCACGGACTTCGGGAGGAGGGGGTCAGAATCTTCCATCCCGGCCAGCGCCGCCTCGTACGGGCGGGTGCTTTTCCACCCGTCGCCACCCACCTGCTCCACGCCCAACCATATTCCTCTTAGATCATACCAGCACACCGACCGGAGAGTATCCAGAGACGAGATATACCTCGTCCATCGCACCAATGCAAGCCGGCGCACGTCTCCACGGTCCATGAGATTGTCCCTCGCGAAGCCCGAGTGGGCGTCGTGCATGACGTAGGTGTTTCTCGGAACCGGCGCAGACCAATCTTTTATAGAACGCAGGACGGACCAGCGTTCCAGAATCTCCACTACCCCTGCAGCAGACGCCTCGTCCTCAGGGCTGGGCTTTCGATCGAAGAGCAACACGGCCGCGTCCCTCACCGTAAACTCACGGCCGTCCGGCAATACTGCAAGAGATGGGTACAGCCGCTGCACGCGTCGTCTGATCCAATGGCGAGATCCTCAAACCCAGCCTGGAGAATGACTTTGCGCCGTGCATCGCGAGTCTCCACCACCGTACCGCTGATGCACCCACCCTCAATCTTGCCCATCTCTGTCCTCACCTTGCCGGCAGCATCCGACCAAGCCGTCCGGTCTGACCTGCCTCGAACGGTGCTCCAACGACCAACGAATGCCAGGTCCATCGCCACGCGCCCACACAGCTCGATCAGGTCAACGGCATGATCGGGCAAGCGCGTCTCGGGAGGAAGTTCCGATGCCTTCCTCAGCACCGACTCCGCTTCTACCTCGGACATCTCGTCCACTCCGACAACCTCCCCCTCCGAGCCTGTCACCAGCTCTTCGTCGCGGGTCGACAGAAGAACCCACATGCCCGTCTCCAACAGCTTCCAGACTACCTCCTTCTCCCACACGTTGTCTGCCACTACGAGGCACGTGAGTCCTTTGCCCCCGTGACCGCGCTGCATTTGCTCCTTGATGTAGGCCGCACCATCATCCGATGTGGCTGGACGACGACCGCCGACTTCTTCACACATCATATGGGCCAGCTGCAGCATCAAGGACGGGAGACGATCCTTTGCACCATGATTTACCTTCAACCACACGACCCCGTCGGAGAAAGCCTGCCGCACCTCGTTACTCCTGACGATCTCGGACGCGGCCGTGGTCTTGCCCGACCCGCTGTCGCCGACCAGCCCCACCAAGCGCGGTCCACCATCGGCAGTGAGCGCCTCGAACACCCTTTCCATGACATAGAGGCGTTCAACATGCCAACTCTTGCGAATCGGCGTCGCCTTGGGAATTTTGGCCAGCTTGACCGGTGTCTTGGATAGCCGGTCAATAATGCTTTCCGTATTTGCCAGGATCATTTCTTGAGCTGCTGCTTGATTTGATCCCGTGCTCTCCTGGAAATGCATAGTGCAGCAAAAACATTTTCAAGGGGGGTGCATGAAAATACTGACACTCGAATACCTCACAATGTCACTGTTTCCACTCTCCTCAAGGCACGGTGCTACATATGGTGGTCAAGACAGAACCATGCTCAAAGCGTGGCGCTAAGGAGCAACAACAATGTGGAGGAGAACTGAGTTGCACAGGTACCGAAATCCACTTTCTTTCTTCTTCAAGAGAGGAATTGTTGTTGTGAAATCGAAACCTTTCCTCTGGGAGAAGTTGATGGGAGGAATCGGTTCGCCTGTTTCCGGGCACAAATCAAGTTCTAACAACTGGTGGGTCGGATCAGGGTAGGTGGGAGGGAGGGACACCACGCGGAGGCGGGAGACTCAGAATCTCACGCAAATGCCCGACAAAAAGGCGTGTTCGATCCCCAAGAGCTCGAAGTAGTCCTGCTTCCCAGCGATGCTAACATCGCGATTGCTGATGATAAAACGTTACCCGGGGGAGACACATTGTGAACTCGGTGGTAACCGGGGACAGGGGCACCCCGCGAGACAACACAACCAAACCTCACCACCATCGCCGTCAAATCGCTGGTCTTCCCCTCCAGGATGGCGACACCCGCCGAGCTGAAGTCGGCCTCCAGATCCCTGATGTCTGCCTTCATTCGGGCGATCTCCTCCTTGTCGCTGGAGGCCTTCAGCACCCCCTTCATCTTGCCTCGCCCACCACAACGCTTCACAATTTCCCCCGCTGCTTCCAGGCACTGCTCGAGCGGAGTCACGTCCATCTCCGAGCAAGAGCTCTGTCTACTTTTCACGACCACGCATGCCGTTAAGTACACGCACCTCCGATGCAAAGCCTGGGGCTCCTCCTTGTTGCTCTTCACGTCCTTCACTGTCTCACGAATAGCCGTGAGCGTTTTCAGCACGGGTCCAAGATAGGGAAACTCCTCGCCCAAGTCTGCCATGAGCGCGATCGTATCCGCCGCCGCCGACCCCATCTTGAGGGCGAGCCTAGCCGTCGCCGCAGTGGCATCTCCTGAGTCGGCCACCATGGTCGTGCTATCGCCGTCGCCAGTTGAGGTCAGCTTGCAACAGCTGTATTGTCGTACCCTGACAACGGAGAGAGAGAGAGGGAGCAAACGTTAGCGTTGACACGACGGGTGAAGTGCCAAGGTCACATTGGGTGGTGCCGACAATGAGAACAGCAACATGCGCGTCATCCCGGGAACATGCACCAAAAGCACGATCCCGATTCAAATCCCAAAACAACGACCCCACTATCATGCCATCGTACAGCGGCGTTTGCATTCCCGAACAGTCACACGTCTAACGGAGTATTTGGTCATAACTTCGCTTGCCTAAAAGAATGTGGGGAGTTCACCATAAAAGCGGGTCGTTCCAGACACCTCCGATGGCGTTCTCAAGTACCATATTCGCTCCTGCTAGAAAAACCCTGAATTGCTTGATTGCACCCCCCCCCCCGGATTGATTGGTTTTGTTTGTTAGTGCCTCGCCGGCTGCACTGGGGGTGCGCACTACGTACATGTACAACCGGAATGCCCTTCAAATGAGCAAATTTACAGTCAATGAAGGGAGATACATCGTCTTGGGGGTTATTTCGCCACCACATTGGATGCAGCAAGCTAAGGGGGGCATCCAGGGGGGGCACCAACGGTGCCCTCCTTTACAGAAAAGGAGTGCGGGCTACGAAAGTGATTTGAGTGCGCAGCGATTGTCGAAGAGCCTATTACTCCCTCGTCCATGTTTCCGTCATGTACATGGCAGATACTGTATATAGGAACTCTGCATCGCAACTATAATAGCTCGCCTGCTTCTCCCGCACGTGCGATCGATCCGACCCCTCCGCTCTCTCCGTTGGCGACCTGTGTGTTCTCTACAGAATCGGGAATGTAGATTCAAAACACCACACCCTTCGCCCGAAGCACCAGCAGCGGGATTCCTGGCGTATTTCTCCGCGGAGATGCAGGAGGAGGCTGAGGTGTTGCCAATGTGCTGTGTTGAAGAACGGAACGAAGGGCGCAAGGGGGCAAGGGGGCACTGCAAGGGGGGCAAAAGTTGCGCCGCAGTTTTTTTAAACGGTGATGACAACCGATCCGGTCCAACGAAACGCAGGTACAGTACCACGCCAGCACATACGCTGGCCCTCGTTTTGTTCTCTTCCCCAACTTTCGTTCTGCAAGAAGCTCAACCGCAGGATTGCACCCTGTTGCTACAGTAGATAGATGAACTCACGGCCCACGTACACGGCCCGCCCCATTAGGGAGCGGGGGGGCAATCCCCTACTGTACACATCCCGTTCGACTGTGGGCATATCTCGAACAGGTAGTCTTTCTGTGTGTGTGTGTGAATAATAAAAGCATACAACACGGCCGTTTCAAAAATTGCGGCGAAACCTATTCCCTCTTTTTTTTTTTCTCGATTTTTTCGCTCAACACAGCGTGGCAGCTTTAGCCACAACAGCAGCGTGGCAGCATCAGCCTCTTCTGCGCCCCGAGGAGAAATACCAGGAGTACGCTACTGATGGTTCCGGTGGAACGAGGTATGTATCTGCATCTACACTCACTGTTCAACTGCACGCACGACCAGTTGGAAACAAAGAGCTCACCAACAGCGCAGAGGGTCGACCGCTAAAGACGGCGGGTAGAAGGTAACGGGTTGAATGACTGCGCTGCGTCCCACGGGTGTAGCGTGCATAACTTTTATATTATGCATCGGAATCACAAACACAAACTGCTGGAGGGTGTTCACGTGTTCACAGCAGTCGGTCCAAGCCACGGGGATTGAGTGCGTTGTTCCATCGGAGGTGGCTCTGAACAACGCGCGACCTGAATGCCTCAATTGGTCCGCGTTGGGCCTTGAGTCACGTATCAGGTGGTGAGTGAATCTGCGCTCTCCCGGGGTTGTTTGTAATTTGTGATAAAGATGCACTCTTACAGAGACAAGGCTAATCTACGATATTCCAGGCAAAGACACTCTCACCTGCGCAGCTCATAGCTATAATAGTCTCGCGAGTTCGATTGTAGACACGTACCAAGCGTTCCATCATCAACACAAGCGAGCAAGCAGCGATACTCCATCATCCGGTCAGGCATGCATGCATGCAGGCGTGGTCATCACTCACAGTTGTGATATCAGGTCAATAGTTTTCAGTTTCCGGACACAAAGGTCACTGACAGCTTGGGGGGCGAGATCGCTGCAAGCTGTCATGCGGAGGAACCGTTTCATCATCGCGCGGGGAATGGTAACCAATCGGAATTTTTCCATTGATTTCCATTATTAGCCCGAGAGACGGTTACATCTTCTCGGAGAACCCCCCTCCGAGCACTTATGCAGTGCCCATCACAGGGACGAGCGCTCCGGGCACTTGTGCCTTGCGTCACAAGTGTCCATCATCGCACTATTTAAAACCGGTGTACGCGGCCGTCCGGAACAGCACCTGCCCCATCCCGCAGAGCCTTTTCTATGCATACAACAATGAAACCTTGAAATTCGCCCCTGACCGGCTAGCTCTACCTAACACACCTCTGGAGCGAAAGCTAGAATGCATGCAGGGTTCGGCAGCATCGTCACCCGGACAGCACTCTATACGGGAATCACCGATGAACACGTGACAGAGATGTATTGTTTGCATATGCTCACTCACTCTCGGACGGGTCGTTGTCGTCTCGACCAGAAAAGGACGGAGGATTCTGTTGTCGTCGTTGTTGTTGTCATTGTTGTCTTCACAATAAAAAACGGTTCCGATTTATCTGCCCACAGTACCTTCATCTGTAGGTACTGATCAAACACTTGACCGAGCGATCCCCGTGGTCTCAGGCTAACTAACGTACCTAAAAAACATAGTATGTAGTCTACTTGTCAACACATTGACCCGAACGGCCCACAAGCAACTTTAAATCAACGACCGACAGATAGTCTGGGGCCCTCCGCTCCCCTCTACACACACGCTATGTATGTGGGGCAGAAAGAACTGGAATTCATCACAATCTTGGTACTGCACAGAGAAAGAGAGAAGGCCATCCGGGGAAGAAACGAAAACGAAAAAGAAAACGAAAAAGAAGAAAAAAGAAAAAACGAGGCAGGAAATAATAACATAGACAAGACACACAGACAAATATACGCCACACGCCACAATCACAAGCGAACAAACACAATCAGGGCCACCAGCAACAGCCTCGGCATGTCATCACTCGTGGGGGGTTGATACAATGGTGCAATTACGGGGAGGGGGGGGGTCAGCGAAAAAGGAGTTCACGCGATCTGCCTCTTCTCGTCTACATTCTTTCCTCTCCGTCTCGTCCATCTGCTGCCCCCCTCTTGTTCCCTTGGCCGTTGCCATATATGTACTGTTGCTGGTTTCCTTGTTTCGTTTCAGCGCTCGTCGTCGGCTATCCTCCTCTTTGTCCTTGTGCCAGGCGGTCATAAACCTCTCAGCTCCCTGCCGTACCCCCGTGTGCCATGGTGCACCCCGCTCCACCTTCGCTGCTTCCGTCCAGACTTATTTCGGGACTCCGAGTACACATGACTCGTCGTTCGTGGATCCGTGTGTAGTCCTTCAGGCACGTAAGGGCCGGTCTTAACGCAGGAATCAGATCTCGAATTCATATTCAGATTTGGTTATAAGACCGGAAGATCCAAAGAACTCTGTTTTGATTGGGCAAAAAGTTCTTCCGCCGGTCTCCTCTTTAGGACTTAAAACAGGACGACCCAAAGCCAAATCGGGATTTGGGTGAACCGCAACCATAGTTGCGGGACCACGGTCTACTCGCATGCACGGCGCGTGCCCATCTACCCCCATCCACACGAACTCCATCCACCGCCGAGCACAGAGGAGAGAGAGAACACAAAAAGCCACACCAAAGGGAGGGTGACTGTACATCGTTGTTGCACGTGACTGGCGCCGAAAAAAACGTGTGTGGGGTGTGTTGGTCTATGGGGCAATCTCCCGTGGGTTGTCGAACCTCAAATGCACAGATGAATTGGTGGCTTTCCGTCGGACGAGGCTCGATTCAAAATCTCACATGCATGGGCTAGACATCGTGTCAGTACCGCACACAGGCCATGTACGCGTTTGGTGTGTGCTTCTCGGGAGCGATAGCTCCCCATGTGGTGTGGCCACGTCACAACAGCAATCTGGCAGTTGGCAAGCGGCGGATCTCTCGGGTTGTTCGCGGTGGACTGCAGAGATTCGTTTCTATTTGGCAGATCTGCCGTCAAGACACACAGGCCATTTCAGTTCGGATTTGGGTAGATCCAACTCTTGTATTCTTATATCGAAATGTGAATCGAGATTTGATTTCTTCGTTAAGACCTACCCTAAGCCAGTTCTGCTCCGGTTTCCCCCTGTCTGGGTTCTCTCCCCCCCCCCCTCCTGTTCGCCAAACATCAGCCGTTTTGGGAGTCACCCGTCCGGCTGCCTTGCCAATGCTCCCGTGAACAATAGGCGCCGTTGCCGGAAAGTGGCTTCCACGCTCTGGCACCCGACCTTCTTCAGGGTTTGTAGGAGAGTTGCCTTTGTAGGTGCCCTTCTTACGTTGGAGTAGATAAAAAAATGACAAACGCAGCGCTCGTACGCAGCAGTAGTGCAGTGCACCCCCGTGTTGACCTTTGGCACAATCAGCGCCTGGATCGCTACAAGAGAGAACCTGTCGTGGGGTACTACCCTAAAAACATTTTTGGAGTCCATGCCGCTGAACATAGATGAGAGCAGGGCAGGGTGGTCCGTTTTGCTTCCAGGTTGCAAGCGCCCTAGCTTTCGGCCATCACTCTCGGTGCGTTGGTCGGTCAATCTTTCTCCACTGAGCTGATGAACGGTCGTCTTTGCACCGGGCATTGTGCTCTCAAACCATGGTTCTTCTAAGGATGAACGACAACTTGTACCGACCGGGGTTTGCGACAAACTCCCCCCGCTTTGCAAATTAGCAGCTTCTACACAGGCACTTTCCCTTTTGAAAAATGATGACCAATTTTCTCCTAGACGGGTGGTGAGTGTTCGGACACAGCAAGTATCGCATTTCGATGGCAAGATTGTGGCGTGTTTTGGGATCGGAATCAGAATCGCTCTTCCGTGCACGTTCCCCTCGGCGTCTATTAGACTTGAGCACGCTCTGCTGATCTCGGCAGCCGAACGTCTTGTTTTGGTTGCGAACAGCACCCAATTTGTCGGTATTCTGTATTCCGAGGCAAGTCACCCGTTAGTTGTTGTCTCAACGCTAGCGTTCGCCCTCTCCCCGTTGTCAGGGTACCAGAAAACAGCTAGTGCAAGTCGAGAGCTCAACTGGCGAATGCGATAGCGCGACCATGGCGGCCAAATCAAGTGGTGCCGCGGCGGAGGTGACCAAGCTCGGCCTGAAGATGGGATCGGCCACGGTGGATTCGATCACATTCATGGCGGAATTGGGCGAGGACCTTCCTTTTGGTGAACCCGTGCTTCCTCATCTCAGACCCGTGTTGAAGACGCTCACGGCTATCCGTGAGACGGTGGAGAACGTGCAGAACAATCAGGAGGAGCTCCAGACTTTGTATCGGAGGTGCGTGTACTTGACCGCATGCGTGGTCGTGAAAAGTAGACAGAGCTCTTGCTCGGAGATGGATCTGACCCCTGTCGAGGAGTGCCTGGAAGCAGCGGGGGAACTGGTGGAGCGGTGTGGTGGGCGAGGCAAGATGACAAGGGTGCTAAATGCCTCCAGCGACAAGGAGGAGATCGCCCGCATGAAGGCAAACATCAGAGATCTGGAGGCCGACTTGAGCCTGGCGGGTGTCGCCATCCTGGAGGGGAAGACCAGCGATTTGACGGCGATGGTGGTGAGGTTTGGTTGTGTTGACTCGCGGGATGTCTATCTCCCTGGTTACCACCGATTTTACAATGTTTCTCCCCCGGATGATATTTTTATCACCATTAATCGCGACTCTGTAGCATCACTATGAAGAAGATATCCTCGTTGTTCGGATCGAACGCGCCGTGTTCATCTCGCACTTCCACGAAGCAGTGCCCCCGCCTCCCTGTGGTGTAATCTCCCCACTTTCGACCGAACATTTGTCAATTCTTTGGTTTGTCCCCGAGAAAACGGCAAAACAATTACACAAATAAATCCTCCCTCTCTACGTATATAACTTTCTCCCCGGGACAGGGTTCAATTTCACCGATATCTTGTTTTTCAAGGCAGAAACCAAACGAGATTTCGGCACCGTGTGCAACTCGATTCTCCACAACAGCTAAACATCATGTCTCGAGCATGGTTCTCCCTTGCCCACCGCAGTACCGTTGATTGAGGAGAGTGGAAACGGTGACATCGAAAGGACCAATCGTGTGTCTAGCCCTATCTTCACCCGCCTCGTCCGGTGCGCTTGTGTATCAATGTATTTGATATTTAATGCTGCAGAAAATCAACAAGTGCGTGTCTCAAGTGAACTGTGTATGCGGCACTATGCATTTCCAGGAGCGCATGGGCACGAATCAAGCAGCAACTCAAGAAATGATCCTGGCAAATACGGAAAGCATTATTGACCGGCTATCCAAGACACCGGCCAAGCTGGCCAAAATTCCCAAGGCGACGCCGATTCGCAAGAGTTGGCATGTTGAACGCCTCTATGTCATGGAAAGGGTGTTCGAGGCGCTCACTGCCGTTGGGGGACCGCACTTGGTGGGGCTAGTCGGCGACAGCGGGTCGGGCAAGACCACGGCCGCGTCCGAGATCGTCAGGAGTAACGAGGTGCGGCAGGCTTTCTCCGATGGTGTCGTGTGGTTGACGGTAAATCATGGTGCAAAGGATCGTCTCCCGTCCTTGATGCTGCAGCTGGCCCATATGATGTGTGAAGAAGTCGGCGGTCGTCGTCCAGCCACATCGGATGATGGTGCGGCCTACATCAAGGAGAAAATGCAGCGCGGCCACGGGGGCAAAGGATTGAAATGCCTCGTAGTGGCAGACAACGTGTGGGAGAAGGAGGTAGTCTGGAAGCTGTTGGAGACGGGCATGTGGGTTCTTCTATCGACCCGCGACGAAGAGCTGGTGGTAGGCTCGGAGGGGGAGGTTGTCGGAGTGGACGAGATGTCCGAGGTAGAAGCGGAGTCGGTGCTGAGGAAGGCATCGGAACTTCCTCCCGAGACGCGCTTGCCCGATGACGCCGTTGACCTGATCGAGCTGTGTGGGCGCGTGGCGATGGACCTGGCATTCGTTGGTCGTTGGAGCACCGTTCGAGGCAGGTCAGACCGGACGGCTTGGTCGGATGCTGCCGGCAAGGTGAGGGCAGAGATGGGCAAGATTGAGGGCGAGCGCGTGAGCGGTACGGTGGTGGAGACTCGCGATGCACGGCGGAAGGCCGTTCTCCAGGCTGGGTTTGAGGATCTCGCCAGTGGATCAGACGACGAGCGCGTGCAGCGGCTGTACCTATCTCTTGCAGTATTGCCGGACGGCCGTGGGTTTACGGTGAAGGACGCGGCCGTGTTGCTCTACGATCGAAAGCCTAGCGCCGAGGACGAGGCATCTGCTGCAGGGGTGGTGGAGATTCTGGAACGCTGGTCCGTCCTGCGCTCTATAAGGGGATGTTACCGAATGGCTTGGAGAGGGGGCCACTATGTTTTGCACGACGCCCACTCGGACTTCGCGAGGGAGAAACTCATGGACCGTGGGGACGTGCGCCGACCTGCATTGGTGAGGTGGACAAGGAATATCTCGTCTCTGGATACTCTCCGGTCTGTGCGCTGGCATGATGTAAGAGATCTGTGGTTGGGCGTGGAGCAGGTGGGTGGCGACGGGTGGAAAAGCACCCGTCCGTACGAGGCGGCTCTGGCCGGGATGGAAGATTCGGATCCCCTCCTCCCAACGTCCGTGGTGGCCGTGGCAAAATTTCAACGTCACGAGGAAGATTGGGAGGAAGCAATTGCCACGTGCCGCAGGCTACTCGATATGCCGGTGACCAAGGTGGGCCCATACTCTCTGTCGGTGATCCGCTCACTGCACGAGCTCGGTCTAGGCTACAAGCACGCTGGGCGTCTTGAAGAAGCGGAGGAGGTATTGAGAGGATGCCTGGTGATCGGGGAGACCTTGCTTGGCTTAACGCATGTGACCGTGGCTAGAACGTTGGACTATCTAAGTGGATGCGTTCGACAAGCAGGGCATTTCGAGGAGGCCGAGGGGTTGTTGAGACGCTGTTTGGCAACGAGGGAGGCAAAGCTAGGTCCTTGTAATTTTCGGACGGCCAGCACAGTGAAGCAGCTGAGCAGTTGGCTCCAGGAGGAAGGGAGGCTGGAGGAGACGCAGGAGTTGTTGGCGCGCCGTTTGGAGATTGTGGAGGCCAGCACGGGCCCAGAGCATGAACATGTGGCCGACGTGCTGTTCGATCTGGGGAGGTGCATGCGACAGGCAGGGCGTATGGACAAGGCAGAGGGTTTGCTAAGGCGTTGCCTCAAGATCCATGAGGCCAGATTTGGCCCAGAACATTGGTTGGTGACCAACACGCTAAGGTGGCTAGGCGCGTGCGTGCGAGACGCAGGACGAGTGCGGGAGGCGGAGGAGTTATTGAGGCACTGTGTGGAGATCGACGAAGCTCAACTGGGTCCAAAGCATCTCGAGGTGGCAAGCACGCTGCTGGAGTTGGGTGATTGCCTTCGACGGGCGGGGCAGCTGATGGAGGCGGAGGGGTTGCTGAGGCGCTCTTTGGGGATCGCGGAAGCGAACACCGACCCAAGGGGCTCGAAAGTAACCTACACGCTGTACCGACTGGGCCAATGCGTTCAAGAAGCAGGCCGGCTGGGAGAGGCGGAAGATATCTTGAGGCGATGTTTGGAGATCGAGGAGGCCAGGCCTGGTCCAGAGAATATGGAGGTCGCCGACACACTGCACTGGCTTGGTGTTTGCGTGCGTGGGGAAGGGCGGCTGGAGGAAGCGACGGAGTTGTTCCGGCATTGTCTGGAGGTACAGCAGCGAGCTAAACGATGGTCGAGGCATGATCATGTTACGAAAGCCTGCACGCTTCAAGAGCTCGATCTATGCGACCAGGAGGCAACACGAGTGGCGGAGGCAGAGGATTTGTCAGGCACATGCCTTACGGAGTAATGTAGTAGTTTTCGCAGAGGCATGTGCGCTGAGATCGTATTTTTACATTGCACCAACTTTGGTTGAGCGCCGTTGTAGTTCTGCACCAAGGCAAGGTAAATATGTCTGGATACGATGGTCCCTTTGAATGGCGCCTGTGCGTCGGCTTCCTTGAAGGCGGGATGGTCTTTCGCGCATTTTCAACATTGTTGCACCGGGTGACGAACAGGTCCTTGAGCACACCGCCTACAGCAGGTACGACGGTACCGGGATCGCAATCTTAGGTGCCGATTTCCATGCTTGTACCGTGCAGGCGAAGGTAGCGAACCCGCTTCGCACTTCACTTACCATAAATAGATGGCACTTCGCTTCAGATAGATGACACTTCGCTTTAGACAGATCAACTACCGCTTTACGAGGGAAAGAGCCTCTGGCTGCCCTCGGGAATCGATGGATAAAAAAGTGTGCATTGCAGTACCAATCCCCCTAAATTTCCGCGATTTTGCTCAGTGAGAAATTCACGCCAAGAGTCACGACTGTTCCCATGTGTGCAACGTGTGGACTGATGCATTCATCCTACGTCACCTAGACCTCTACCGGCAATCGGGTCTTGCTTCTGCCCCATCGCTGTGAAAGGTTAGAAGCAAGGCTTGAAGCCGGATCAGAAGAAGACTAACCCAAAATAACTATCACGTTGCCATCTATGGCAATCTTAGAATCTGGCTGCGTGATACCAGTCCGTGTTTGGCCATGGCGGCGCCAGTCAGCTTCGGCCCGAAGAAGGCGGATTGGAACACGAGTCGACTTAGCAGAACAACACACGTCTTAAGAAAGATGTTCTCACCCCAAAGCATCCAATAACGAAAGGAGACAAAGCACCTTGCGAACATCGAGAGTGTCGATGCATTGAGTGCGACCTTCACCCCCCTGCCGTCGTTGTTGTTGGTGGTGATATGCCCTCTTGTTCAAATTCGTTCCTACCTGTCCCTAATTATATTTTTCCCTCGCTTGCAAAGCATGTATGGAAGCAGTGTTTTGTGGTTGGCCAGCTAACTAATTCTTGAACAGCTCTTGCATCTGTGATACTGAACGTGCCTACCATACAATGGTGGTAAGAGTACCATATGAGCTGGAAGGTCCAGCCGCCGCAGGACAATTTTATGTCCACGTCTTTTGTTACACACAATACGTTTCAGTAGATAGGACACCATACACACATTGCAACGATCACCTAGCGATCAAAAGACAACTACCGCACCTCGACAAATTGCAGCCCTCACCACGGGAACCGATGGCACAGAAATGCATCACAAGTAACACACCTCTAGACACAAACAGCGACATCCGCACATAGCGTCACTATATGACGCTGGGAAAACGCACACCCACACGCGAACAAAATATCGCCTCAGAATCGTGCGTAAATTTAGTGGGTACAAATGTGCTGCTCCCATCAAAGCCTGGACACGCCTTCCACCGAGTGGCCTCCCCCCAGCCACTCTACCACGAAAGCCTGGTAGACACTGCCGCCCGCGTTTCGCGCGTTGGCGCTGACGGGGCCGTCGATCCACTTCCACCCCCCGACCTTCGACAGCTCTCCGCCCGCAAACACGCCGCCATCAGCCTCCAGGCTCCCTCCGCCATCGGAAAGGCAGAGCACCACCCCGCTGAATCCCAGCGTGTGGGGCCCCGTAGATTCTCCGGGCTTAAGCCTGAAGTCGTAGACGCGAGCGAGCCCCGGGCGGCTGTCTTCCCCTCGGAGGCTGTAGCAGCGGTGGTCGAGGGCGCGGCTCGAGCAAGTGGGCGGTGGTCTGAGGATTTCCATGGCGAAGAAGTGCGAGTTGTGAGTGTTCTCCGGGAGGAGGCAGACCTGGTGTACGTAGGGGGCGCTCTTGCTCATGGCCCACCAGAGGTCCCCCGGCGAAGCGTGGTGCACGAAAGGTTCCTTCGGACGGGCGGCAGAGTCGGGGCGACGACCAACGGGACAAGGGATCGTTGGCACACAAAAGCGACGATTGTGGTACAGATAGGGTTAAGGCAGAGGCCAAGAAATGTCGGGGCGACAACCAGCGGGATAGGATTCAGGCAGAGGCCAAGAGTCGGCGTGGCAATAACCAGTTGGACAAGGGTTCGGCAGCACACAAAAGTGACGGTTGTGGCATGGAAAAGGATTGGTCAGAGGTTACGAGTCGGGGTGGCATCCAGTGGGATAGGGTCCGCCGGCAAACAAAGGTGACGGTTGCGGTCTGGATAGGGTTCAGGCAGAGGCCAAGAAAAGTCGGGGCGACAACCAGCGGGATACGGTCCGTTGGCAAACAAAGTGACGGTTGTGATATGGATACGGTTCAGGCAGAGGCCAAGAAAAGTCGGGGCAGCAACCAGCGGGATAGGGTCCGTTAGCAAACAAAGTGCCGGTTGTGGTATTTGAGGGAATACGAAAAAAATGATGGCATGCGGCAAAGAAAAAGCGTGACAACGTTCGTTTGGCGATGGGCCTCGAGAGAGCCGCCCTGACGACGTCGAAGTTTGATGCCAGGTGGCGTTCTGTATAGACTAGACAAATGAGGTAGATGAATGCTACACATAGGTTTTCCGCCTATTTAGAACTACACCAACTAAAAACGGAATGCCTTCAACACCACAACTCCCTTCCACCCCCCCTGCTCAAATTGGATAAAACGATGGTAAGAATATCAACGGAAGAGCCCCACAAAAAGAAGCAGACGGGAGGATTCCTTTCGACTCTGTCGCTTGGCATTGCAATAGGTCACTGCGAAGAAAACCGGCTGTGAAATTCCTTCCTCGTGTGGATAGGGGCTTTCACAGTTTGTTCCGTACGTCGTCGTCTCCGACACACTACACGCATTTGACAGCCAGCTGGTTTCCCTGACATGCGTTACTGCTGTACTAGCGGAGGAAACTTGTTTTGTGAGAATGGCATGGCAATGGTGGTCATATTGAGTACATGTGCAGAGACTAGGCAACACGAATCACCGACTGACGAGATGCGCATTGAGGATTCAGGTCAAAAGCGGAGCTGTCAACCAGTAGTAAGACATGGAGTACGAAGTAAGGAGGTTCGCAAGGATCGGAGGAACGGTCTCCATTAAGAACCGAAGGGCTTCCCAAATGACCGTTGTACACAGGATACGCTTGGAGGGGAAGGACGACGGCTCGCCTTTGAGTGCCACTCCCCTCCGCGCGTGTCAAACAACCTTGCGATTTCATCCATCCCGCGTCTTCAAGCTGCAAGACCCTGCCCGTCAGCAGCAGACTGCTATGCCTTCGGTGTGCGGTACTGTACAACTTCTCTCTTGGTGGAGTGTGTGTCGCCCCGTACATTCTGGACGTCAATCTGTACACAACAGGCTGTTAAAACGCTCTGGTTGGTATGCCACTGCTCGCTTCTCACGCAATACTCCGGGCAAAGAGGGACATGTAGGACTGCTCTTGCTGCGGCAATCCAACAGGCACGTCTTCTAGATTCTACAACTGCACATGTTTGCTGATACTATCCGTGCCAACAATGTGGATCTGATGCTCAACACTGCCAAGAGAGCAAGTCCTCACTTCAGCACAACAGAAACTCATCCCCTATTCGGAGGCAAGCATCATTGACACCACACGGTCGGTGAAAATCCATTTTCCAGCAACATGCATGCACATGGTGAGCAAGCTTGACACGAAGGGAATAAAGGTGCCAACGGGCAAGCTTACCTTGTCCGTTGGCCGGTTGAGGGCTGCCGCTCCATGTCCCACGCACACGTACAGGGTGTTCTCGGAATGGCGATGCCAAAGCGAGGTTTCGCCGGGCCTGTCGGGCGAAGGCAACACGGGCGAGCAAGGGGGGGGTAACCTTTCGACATAACAGCCTCCCGGACTCGCGTTGCGGAACAAGAACACTCTCCTCGGAATACATAAGACAGAGAACTTCAACTGCAACTCCAGCAATACTGACATGCACAGCAGACCTGGTGCGTGATGCATGTCAAGCCTCTTGACCCCGCTCGTTACGGATGTCACACTCGCCTGAAGCCCGCGATGTAAATGTAGACATAGTCGTTGCTGAACTGCCGTCGGTGGATCGGCTCGTCGTGGACCTCGACGTACTCTACCTCCCTCCCGTCGAAGACGGCGATCTTGGGCATATTGTAGTCTTATGCTGAGAGACTGGCTCTCTCCCTCCGCCCACGTGAAAAGGCTGCAGAGCGACTTTCTACCAGCAACCCTGCCTATCAACTTTTACACGAGTGTGAGATCGGAAAGCACTACGCTGTGGGACCTGCAGAGGATGTATCTCAATTATGTGTGATGTTACAGGTGAGTCTAATCCGTCCGCAGCAGTGCAGTGACACCCTGGCAGGGTTGCACATGTATTCGCGGACCCCCCGCCATATGCTACAAAGCCACACCCACCACGACCACTTCTCACGCTACCCCACATTCTCTCCCACAACTTTCAACCTCGACTCAAGCAAGGGAGCATGAAGCGCGCCTTCGTGCTCACCGTTCTGCCACTGGTGTCCAGCGCCTCCCTGGCAGCAGCGTTCGTCTGCCCTGCGCCCGCAACAGCAACATCTGCCGCCTTCACCCCGAACAGACCAAGATTAGCAGGTGACACATCAGCATCATCTGCCGCCGCTGCTATTGCGCCGCTTCGTCCTGCTCGCGACCAACACCGCCAGCAACGGCAACGCGGGAGACATCTCGTCGCCTCCCTGGGCGGAGGCGTCCCAGAAGTCGCGGCCGTCGTGGTCTCATCGACCTCGTCTGTTGTGTCCTGGCTCGTCGGTGCCCTCGTCGCAGCTTCAATCGCGAACTTCCTGCAGGGAAGACCGTACCGCGATCTGGGGCTAACGCCAGACAAGATCCTGGGCGTTCCCGCTGAGGAGGCCACCGCCGATCATGTGGCCAGGTTAGGTGCGTGGCTTCCGGTGTTGTGCAGTGGCCGCAGCTTTGCCGTCGCTCTGCGTACGTAGGGATTCTGTCCTCAGGATGCTCTCTCTCTCTCTCTCTCCTGATTATGAAGTTCAACGCTGCTTCACCCGAACTTCAGCGAACGGTTGAAGTGCTGTGTGCTGTACATGGTTCTCCCCGCCGCTGTTGCGGCGGTTTGTTGCTGTTGGTATCCCCGTTGCGCACTCCACGCGAGAATCAGGAATCGCTACAGCGTTTTCACTATGTGACAGGCTTGACGCGGAGGGCATTCCGACGTCCGCATATCCTCTCGTACATGACACGGGAGAGGACCAAGATGGGGGTTACGCATGTGTCCCCGCATGTTTTTGAAATTCGAAAATACCCCGCACCACGTCTTCAGACTACACTCGAAAAAAAGGGGGGGGAGAAGTTTTTATCAATGCATGCTGCTCGGGGAACCGTAGAAACACAGGTAAGGTGCCCGCTAAAGCTGTAGAGTTGTTGCTAATTTATCCCGGACTCTTTTCTGTGGATGGAGGGAGATGAACTGTCGTGTTTTAAAGAAAATAAAATAAAAACGTCCGCTGCCCACGTTCCGCACTCGGCAGGTGTTGGGGAGCATGTGTTATGGGGGGTGCATGCTCCCCAAGAACAAAGATACCCTCGTACCCTGATGTCCTTCACGATCCCTCGCACACAGAAAGGTAGCCAAATATCCTGTCCTTCGCCCCACCCCTCACACAAAAGATACACGAAACCCTGGGCTGCTACTTACTGGTGGTGAAGAAACCACCGGCCTGCCCAACCCAACTCTCGACGCACACCTACCACAAAGCCCCGCCCTCAGCTGTTATTTGTCATCCTTCATACTTGTCCCGCAACGTGTGCTTCGACCTTCGTAGGCAAGGCAGGGTTCATGCAGCTCTTCTACGCCAGCCAATGCCCTGCTACCGGAGACCTGGACGGCGAGTACCGAGCCCGCACGCTCAACATGGGCGTCTTGCACCCGATCACCGCTATCATCACGCACCGGATATGGGGGTGAGCCCCAGGCACCCGCTGCTGCCGTGTAAAACCTCGGAGGGTGTTGTCAGCGAGTGTGGTCTGCTTGCTGTTTTGTTCTGGTGGTCTCGCCGTCTCTGCATCACCTGTGATCTCGTGCTCTCAAGGGCGGACACCACATGTTCAGAGTTGCATTCTGACAGCGAGCGTTGTTCACTTGCATGTTCCCGAGGCCGAACTGGGTCGCTCAATTAGAAGTTAACCAGGTCGGAGCAGAGAGGGTGAGAAACTAACTTTCGGTCGGATCGACTTTGGTTGTAACTTCTCCCTGTAGAGAGAAGAAAGTAGGAGCGATACAGAGCTCGTAAACATCGACGAAGTGCGCAGATCCTGGTACAAGACGGGAGCGTAAATGTAGCAACGTACCGAGTGGGCAGATTACGACACATCCCATTGTACGGTAATGACAAGCGCTACGTTTTTTTTGCAGTGTTTTTTTTTTCATCAGTATGACCCAACGAATCCATCTCTATCGAAGAAAATAGTCCAAGATAGATTAGCATTAATGTTTTTTGCCCTAGCGAATTCCACCGCCACCACCAACACGGAAGCTTTCCCTCTTTGCGTACTGCTTGGTGTTCTCCTGCTACTGTCGTACCATTCGGGATATTGGTTTCATGGCAACCCATAACGCGCCCCCACGGCGTGTTGTACCCCCGCCATCAGGCCAGGGAGGTGGCTCGGGAAGGGCATCCGCACCGGCAGCCGGGAGGGTTACAACCTCTTCACTGGTTCCGAGGCGAAGGGTATCGGCCTTCCAAGCGACACGCAGCGAGAGCGATCCTTCCGGTTCTCCCAGTTCTCCGACAGCGTGTTTGACCGGGGAGTGTCTTCGGGGCTCGACTACGCCAGAGCGGGCAAGAACGGGCCGCTGTTCGGCGGCATGCGGGACGAGGTAAGGCCTTGGCAGACAGAGCGATTGGCTCGAAAAAAGTGGTCGTTTGTAGAAGGTTCACATACAATCGAAGAGAGACTGCCCTTTCGAGGTACTGTATTACCACAGCAGTCGAAGGGGATGTGTTGAAGTTGTCAGTTTTTTTTTTTTTTGCTCGAAAGCGGTCGATTCTATTTTTTGGTGGTGGAAGCGGTCGATTTTGTTGTTTGGTGCTCGAAAGCGGTCGATATCCGTTTTTTGGTGCTGGAGAGCGGTCGATTTTGTTTTTTGGTGTTCGAAAGCGGTCGATATCTGTTTTTGGTGCTGGAGAGCGGTCGATTTTGTTTTTTGGTGCCGGAAAGTGGTCGATTTTGTTTTTTTGGTGTTCGAAAGCGGTCGATTCCGTTTTTTGGTGCGTCCGACACTAGGAAGAAATCCATGGTGTATGTACACGAGAGAAGGGGGGGGGGGGGGGGCGTCTGGGGCAGTCAGCAAAGAGCGATGCTGACATCGAGTCGTGCGTTCGCTTTACCCAAGACGAGTATGCGGAACATGTCACCAACTGAAGCGAGTGATGTTAGTTGGTCTCGCCTTCGTTTCATTGGCGGAAGATCTACCACCGGAACCGCCACTCATTCGGGTGAGGTTCCCCCCGGAATGCGGCGTGTTTCTGCTTACAAAGCTTGAAACCACGGTACATGCTCTTTTTTTTTTAACAAACAATGCATATAGCAGTGCTAAATTCGTACAGCCCTTGTCAAATGGCTAAATCGAAGGCGAGCCGCCAATGTTGCTCTTGGGCTTCTGTGGACATCTCGTCCGGACCAATACCTCGAAGAAACCTCCAAGCGCGCTACTAAATCGAGGGCAAGCACCGCAGGAGGGGTGTGTATAACAGGTAGCCTCAGGGAGAGGAACCCTTCTGTGTGACCACGGATTGAACCTACCTCCTATCCGGCAGAAACGCTGTGACCGCTGATTGAAAGTGACGGAACAAAAAAAAAAATCCGAACGAAGATCAACTCAACATCAGGTTTCTCACCTGTGGCTTGCTGATTTCCCGTGCTCCGCATTTTCCCAGGTCCGGAAAGTGAACGACAAGCTTTTCATAGGTTTGGGCTACATACAGGCCTTCGGTGGCAAGTACAACTCGGCTCCTTTCGTCATGGAGGGGCCGCCCGTGCGCGAATTCTCCGGCCCCGACAAGACCTTGTAGGTTATGTGGCCTCAGTAAGGGTCAGCGAGAGGCCACAGGAGGAAAGAGCGTACACCCACCGTAGGTGACACAAGATAACACACCCCCTGGACATTTTCTCAACGCTCGACTACTCCACGGCAAAAATCAAATGAACATGTTTTCGGAAAGATCTCGACGAGGCGGTTCCATCGCGGCCATTCTCGGCACCGCCGCTCTTTCTACTGTGGAAGAATGTAGCTTTGGAAACGGTCCAGGGGGTGTGGTATCTTGCGTTACCTACGAGAGGAGACCGCCTCTGCGCATGCGAATGGTCTCGACTGGCCTCTTTGTTTGTCGAACTCTGTTCGTTGTGCGTCTTTTGTGAGGAAGCCAGACACCGGGAACAACATTCGGCACTCGACAATTGGACAAGGGTGGCACAGGGGGGGGGGGGGGGTGTTTCCAGGCCGCGTTCTTGCTTGCGTCGTGGCGGGACGTGTCGCCTAGGCATTGCATGTTTGTGTCAAAGATGAGCTTTGCCCGCCCTGTCTGTTGATAAACCTGTGGTGGAACGGCTGGTAGAGATATACACCGTTAGATTTTGCTAGACGCAAGTGGTAAGCGGCACAGGATGCCGATCGATGTTTCGCTTACCCTTATCGGTGGGAGTGTATAGAGTGCGATAGACACGCTTTTGGTTATTTTCCAAGTTTTCGACGCGTTGTGGATACCCGGACCGGGGAAGGGGCGAGGGGGGGCGATCACGCGGAAAATATGCTGTAGCAGGACTAGACTGGCGAGGAAAAAGGCGGGGGATGAGAGCGGGACGGGAGTTCGACGACAAGAAATTGTCGACATACTTGGAGGTACTGAAATTCACGGAGGGTGTTAAATGTTGTGCAGGTGGAATTGTGCAGTGTGAGCGGTGAAATTTGAAGTGCCACGCCATTTGTGCCATAGTAGAGCCACGCGCGTCCGGCATAGAGATGGCACGCGCGTTTTTCTTTCTGTTATATTTTGTTGTCTCACGAAGACGCAGCGTCGAGAGGAGTAAGGTATCGGACAACCTACAGCAGTATGGTGGTCCCCGACCACGAAAATTTTGACAAGGACTTCAAGATCACCAGGCAACGTGTTGGACCCAGCGCCGCCTTGTTTTGGCGAGGCAATGAAGCGAGGTGTAGTTTTGGGAGAGGTGTGATGTAAAGGGATTTGACGTTTCCAGTGGTTCTACTGCATTAAATTCGAAAAAAAAAACGGACCCGTAAGCGGTGTCGCCGTACGCGGGGTCAAGGCTGTGAGGATGATGTTCTCCTGGCCTAGCCATAAGGTTGGCCAACATCTGGCAGCTCTACAGTTCACCGGAACTTGTGGCGTTAGTCGAATGTCAACTTTTGGTGCCTTCATGCCTGAGTTGCTGAAGAATTTCCCTGATCGCGATAAAACAAGCCCAGATACCTGTTCCTACCTTAGCCTTAACTCGTTCGTATAGCGTGGGATTCACATTGGTACCAGCTGTCTGTTCCTAGACTAGTCAACATTTGTAGAGTGCCGTGTGCCGCGGCTGCTTCCCTAAAAAAACGGTTTCATAATTTCTATCGAAACCGTTTAGTCGGTTCTGGACAGCCGCGCCTTAGACACCAATTTTCAACTGGGGAACAACAGCCCCCGGATAGTTACAGGGAGAAATTTTACAGTATCAACAATTCTGGGGTAGACGGTTTCAAACGCTACTATTTATTTTGTCTCCTGGGCTTGGTTTGGCTTTCCCCAGACATCCTCCCAACACTACCATCGTCGCCGTTGCCGTCACCGCTTCCACTGCTGCTGTCGTTGTCGCTGTCAGAGCCGACATAGTCCGCGTCATCCTCCTCGTCAATCCCATCCTCTCCCTCGACATCACTCCCGGGTTCGCTACCCCCTCCTGCACCCGCGCCGCCGCTTGACGCCACCACTCTACGTGGGTTACGGCGTTTGCCGGGGGGGGGGGCGGGAGTGCCTACCTCGCCCCCACTCAGCGTGGCACGGGTGTTTCTCTTGCTCTGCCCCTGCCCGCCGTTCGCCGGCGTTGCGGCAGAACCAGCGGAGGCGTTTCTGTTGCTCCTCGCGGAACGGCGACCGCCGTTGCCGCCGCCGCTAGCGTCGGTATTCTTCGCCGGTGTCGGAGGAGGCCGCGATCGCTTCGCGCGGGCTGTTGCGCCCCTTGTGCCCGTCCTGGGCGATGGTGACGGTTGAGACGAAACCGTCGGCTGGTCAATCTGCGTGTCGTCGTCGTCCTCGTCCTCGTCCTCGTCGTCGCCGTCCCTGACCGTAGATTCGGGAGATGTGCCGGCAGCTCCTCGCTGCCGTCTTTTCGTCTTCCCGCTTGGGGCATCATCACTATCATTATTCTCTTGCTCCTTCTGCGACTTGTCGCCCCTCTTCCTTTTCTTCTTCGCGCTCTTTGCATTGACCTTGCCTACCGCCGAGCCGTCTACCGTGATCACCTGCGTGAAACGGCAGAGCGAAGAGAACGAAAGCCCGCACACGTTGGTTGAAGCAGACAGAGCGAAAGCGGCTGCGCACGGCATAGAACGACCATTGGGTGGAAGCATGGTCACATGCCGGGAAACGTCAACTGCGCCATGAGTCAAACTTGTAGAGGCACCCGCTCTACTTCAGGCATGGTACGCTTGCCGAACGCACTCAACATACCAACACACTTACAACCACGAGTAGCCCACAGAATAGATGCGGTCGAGAAACTGGCCAATCCTCTCCAAAGACACCGACCAAAGAAGGAAGGCTCTACGTGAAGCAGACATGCAACTTCTTCGCAGCACCCAACACTTCAACTCTTAGGAAACATCCTTCCCGTCCATATTTTTTCTTCCGGTCTTGTCGCGGGGACCCCGCGAAATCGCGCGAAAATACACTACCACCGCCCAATTCCACCCGGCCGAGACTCGAAAAAAGAAGCGCACACATCATCAGCAATAGCGGCAATCGACCGTCCATCACAATGTTGATGATACGATTATTCAGTAAGTAAACAAAAATAGACAAACAAAAATATACTTCGAAGGAGTACAAAGTGAGCACCTCGGAAGACCCCTGCGCTAGGTCCTCGACCGCCGTGCGAAGGCGCTTGCTCTTGATGGCGGCCACCCTCTTGTTGTCGTGGTAGGCCATGAAGTAGCGGTCGATGCGCGACTGCGCGAAACTCCCCCGGTCCAACTCCTGCGTTGGCGAGGGAAATCGGGTCAACAAAAGAACGGGTCGTATCACGCAATCAGATGGCCAAAAAGTACGTTTGCTGTACGTTGGAGGCTGATACACGTCGCCATGCCTCCGTTTGCTCGACGCTCTCTGTGTGATGAGCCGATACCACCGGCTTCTACAACCTCCACGCTTTGGAACGTAAGGTGAACTGCCGCATGACCGCAAGTGTTTCTTACCTTGACCATGGGCATGAGCAGCCCATCAGACTGGTCCCTGTCCCACCCTAGCACCCTCTGGCATAGAGCCATCAACCCGTCAACGTCCGGTGCCGCCCAGCTGAAAGGCTCTTCCGATCTGTCCACCTGAAAAATAACGGCGTGGCAGCGGTGTGGCGGGAGGAGGGATGTGTATCCCACGTGTCCAACCCATGTTTATGGTTAAGCCTGTATCCTGTTGAACCAACGACACCGGTACGGCGAAAAAAATGTGAATCTCTTTCAATACAAGCCGTCGATATTCTCCAAAACCTCAAGTTGGACAGCAGGGTATATTCAAGCAGGCCCCGAGCGCCGCGGCCAATGGTATTGAAAATCACCAGCATAATAAGGGGCTGGGTGCTTACCGGCGCCTACGGCCATGAGTCCTAGATTTATTGGGGGTGCCGTGGTGGTTGCACCATTGACCTCGCATCCCTACAAAGCCGGGACGGAGCACGCCGGGTTATCACCAGACCTGGCTCGCATATCACCAAGCGCGAAGCGCGTGGGCTAGATTGACAATGGCACGTCCATGCGCGTCAAGTGCTGCGGACTCCGTCAATCCCCTAACCTTCCTTGGGGGTGTGTGCTCAGTAGTGTCGGGGGTAGGGGGGGGCAAAGGTTGATTAAAAAAATAGACCGTGCGCGAGATGGCGCCGTATATACTATCGTCTTTCCTGACCTGAGGATTGTTGTAGGCGTTGATGACCTCCTCGCTCGGGAAACCATCAGGGACGGTCCACCTTATTATAGCAACACCAGCATCACATCACCCGAAAGCAACCGCAACCGCGGGCAACGAGAGTCTCGTCAGCAAGGCAGCCGTTTGGAATGACTACAACAAGAGATAAGAGGACGTGTTTGTGGACACTCCATCAGAAGAGGTATTAGGTGGGAGAGAACCGTGTCCTGGTTCGGCAAGCCTGGTCTCGTGCACGTCCAGCCGTCGAGAGTGACGATTGTCTCGTGCGGCTGAGACCACCGGACGCACCCCGTACCTGCGAGACCTCTCAGGCGCTTAGACTCAAGCCGAGTAAACAGGTCGTCTTGCTCGTGCTGATATTGTCCCATCTACGTAGAGGTTCCCGTCTACACCTTCCGGTATGTGTTTGGCGTGTCAGCTGGGGTCACAAGAGGTAGGTAAAGGCAGGAGTTTTCTTCTGCCCTACCCGTCTTCCCGGGGTGCTTGGTATCAATCGTCAACGCGAGATGTGTAGGTGGCAGTCCATTTCCCTCTTCCGTACTACCATAACAATGCGGATACAACGAGCCGATTCGATATATGCTCCATGACGTACTACCCATCAAAGACGCCTGATTTTCATTCCCTGCATCCCTTAAGAAACAGCTGCTGCCTTTCGGAGCAAACTCGGGACTAAACAGCCTGGTCCTCCCGTAGAGAAAGCCGCCATGATTCAAGGTACCCCTTCGGGAAACAATTGCCGCCTCAAGAAGTGCATCGCGTCGGCGAGCCAGCCGTCCGTGCGACACACACCACAGCAGCAGCAGCAGCAGCAGCAGCAGCAGCAGCAGCAGCAACATTAGCAGCAGCAACAGCAGCAACAGCAACAGCAGCGACAACAGCAGCAGCGACATCAACAGCAACAACACCCGGCACCTGTTTCGCGCGGTCCTGTGCTTGAGGTGAAATTTCATCTCCAGCGACAGCCCGTCGATCTCCTTCTGAGAACCGCGTTTCGTCAAGCCTTCAAGCTCCTGGTAAAAAAAATAAAAATAAATACGTGCGGAATCAGGACGAGGGAAAAAAAAAAAAACACCCGCGTAACGGAGGTGGAGGTGGATGGAGATGAAGCATGAGAGGCTGGGGGTTCGCGTTTGAACAGAAAAATAAGCGACACATTCCGTAGAAATTGCGAAGTCGTCCACGTCATGGTAAACATCTGTTTCTGGGCGACCGACCGTAAAAACAAACACCCGAGAAATACTACATAAAGAACCAAGAGCTCTGCTAAGGAGAACAGCATACGACAGAGAAGCGCCTTCGGCTTCAGAGCAAACGGCGTGGTTGGTTGGCGCAGCCGAAGGCGCGGTCCCTCCGCTCTTCGAGCGGCGTAAACCGTCCACAATACTTAAGCTGTACCAGGCAGAACTTCTCGTACTGCGTACCATGTTGGGGTATGGCCGGCCTGTGACTGAGGGCGTCCGCGTCAGTTGGACCTACGGACGTTAAGAGATAATGAGCAGAGAACGCAACGGCTATACATGCTAAACAATAACAACCAAAAAAGCAACAAAAACAACAACAAAAACAACAACAACAACAACAACGCGACATGACACTAGGCAACACCAACACAGAATATTTTGTCGCTGTCTTCTTTCCTTCGCACCTGGTCGAGGAGGGGATCGAAGCCATCGATCCACTTCTTAAACTTGCTGAGGCCGTGGTGAGCACCCTTCCCTTCCAAAGGAAAAGCGTTGATCACCTACGTATCACGTCGCATCGTGCCGAAAAACAATTACCTCTTCGGTGAGGTGTTGAAGTCAAGGGAAATCCTGGTGAATTTATTTTCCGTTCACTACACAGAACGAGTTTCATCGCATCAGACAGGTCGAGGCGGGGGTGCGAATGCGCTGTCTTGCGACCGCACCGCGCAACAGCAGTTTGTTCTCGAGGGAGGACTTGAGTGTTCGCAATCGACGGCAACATGAACGCACATCACAGACAGCTTGAAGCGGCGAACGCGGCGAACCATTTACAACCTTTGGTTGTTGCTAGACGCACCAGCCGGGGGGGCACACAGCAAGAAGGCCACAAACGAGTTTCACCGTATGTATTCTGCGCGGAAATTTGGTAGGCGTACAGGTACGACCCCCCCCCCTCAACACATCCGCCGACCCCCCGCCTTTCACCTCCATTGCGTTGACGATGCCCACACCCCTCACTCCCTCCGTGTAGTCGCTGCCCAAAAGCAGCGCGAGAGCGACCACTTCATCCGTGCCCACTCCGAGATCCTGAGGGCGTAACGAACGCCCCACGATGCACCATCGTTCACAACAAATACACAAGTCATCTCGGATTTGAAACGGATCCAGATTTCGGAACGGAATTGGGGAAGAGCCAGATATCCCATGAAGCACGTTGAAGAATGACCCTACCTTGTTCAGTCCCCTTCCTCTCTCTCGAAACACGCCGGAGCTATCGAGGAGCAAAAAACGTGTTTGAGAATAACATGCCGCTTCGCAGCACGCGGCGTTCCGCCGCGGCGGAACCGGCGACTGCTTCCTGAGCGGCTGCTGCCCCGGCGGCGGCTGCCTCTCGACCCCGGCGGCTGCGAGCTCACCGGTGGGCCCGCTTTGACCACCTCCACCAGGGCCGCCTCCCCAGCCTGACCACCAGACGGCCACGTTCGCGGATGCGACCACCGCGGCCTATGCTGTGCCGTGCTACACCGCGCTGGTGCCGTGCGCGGGGGCTGCGCTGGGCCTTGGGCCTTCAACCGCAACCGTGTGGGTTGTGATCAGGGCACCGTCGAGGAGGTGGTTCTCAGCTTGGGAGAGGCGGCCACTCGGCTGCCGCCTCTTCCGGGGGAGGAAATCTACACGAAGATTCTAGCGCGGGCTACGAAGGTGGCCGCCTCTTCCGGGGGAGGAAATCTACACGAAGATTCTAGCGCGGGCTACGAAGGTGGCCGCCTCGCGTGCAGGCGACAAGTCGGTAGCATGCCGTCAGGAGGAGGCGAGAATATACTGCTATCCTCGCATCCGCCTGACGACTATGCTACCGACTTGTCGCCTGCACGCGAGGCGGCCACCTTCGTAGCCCGCGCTAGAATCTTCGTGTACACTTCTGCCTCCGGAAGAGGCGGCAGTCGGGTGGCCACTCCCCTCAATCGAAAGGTCACCACCTCCGATCGCAACCCACGCGGTTGCGGTCGAGGACCCGCCCAAGGTCCAACGTAGCCCCCGCGCGCGGCACCAGCGCGGTGTAGCACGGCACAGCGTAAGTCGCGGTGGTCGAATCCGCGAACGTGGCCGTCTGGCGGTCAGGCTGGGGAGGCGACCCGGGTGGAGGTGGTCAAAGCGGGCCAACCGGTGATGCTCGCAGCCGCCGGGGCCGAGAGGCAGCCGTTCTTGGCGTCCACCTCAATGCGACGGGGCCACGATCTCTCCTTCGCGATGGGATGACAGGTTCTGCGGGTTGCCAGCGAGGGAGGTTCTCATCTTCCAACATCCAGTTTGGTAACACCCTCCCGTGACTCCGTCGACGCCGTCGTAAGTGGGCCCGGACGTCTCTATTTGCGCGGTGCGCAATGTTACGGCATAACATCGGTGCGGGGGAGCGTGTTGGCTGGGGCCGGTACCAAGGGCACCTATTCCCAGTCGTGCAGCCGAACGGAACTCGAGGCTGCGCTCCCCTCACGGCGGCTCAGATGACGGCCGCCCTGCACGGGCATTCGCGAGCGGCGGGACTGCCACACTGCTACACTGTGCTATACTTTCGGGTCGAGGGTTCTGTTGCACAGTCGTTGGACGGAACCGCAATGGACGATATCATGAAAATTGCCGGGTGGCCTACCGAGAGCGTCGCAAAACGCTACATTGGTGCCACTACCAGTGTAGGGACTGTGGGTTCCAAGAGGAGCCGTAGCGAGCACTACTACGCTGACTCAAACGCATTGCCGTTGTCGGCCGACTTCACACGCGACTTTTCTGGGTGTGTGCCCGCCGCGGAAAATAAGAAAGTTTGGGTGGGCGACACCTGTAGCGTTGAGCGGTGGAGTCAAAGATTAAAATATGGTGGATCAGACAATCAACAAGAAAGTACCGGGTGGGACCACAGGCCTGAGCGGTGTATGGTCAAAGTTTATATATGGTAGATGAGACAGTCAAAAGAAAGTACTGGGCGGGACCACAGGCCGGTGCAGGAGGCCTCGCCCAACCAAATCCAATACTTACATTGAATGACCTGGGTAAGGGACAAGAATACAACAACAGCAGCAGTCATCCCTCCGGAGTGGGCTCATAAGAGCACAGTGTCATCAAGGGGTGCGATGAAAGATGAAAACAAAAGCAGGAAGCAGGACAGCAACCCACAGGAGGCTGCCAGCTGACAGCGAGGACGTTTCCCAAGCTCAACAGGCTCACGCAGGTGGCGTGTTCTTGACTCGACGAGCCCGGCGGACTCAACGAACCAAAAAGAAAATAATACATATCTGTATACAGTCTTATCCCCGTTCCAGGAAAACATACGCGCTACCATCTTAACAACAAAGCAGGTAACTAGGCCATCGTGTGACCCGAACAGCCTCTACAGCTGCAACGACGAAACGGCGAGCTATAATAGACCATCGCACAACCAAAAAAATCTCTACAGCCTACAACGACGGTTACACAGAGCTCCGTCGTGTACCCAAGCAACCAAGTCCAAAACCGCCTCCTTTTCATGTGCTCTACGACAAACGCCACGCCAAAAACGCCTCATTTCATGTGCTGTAAGACTAACGCCACGCCAAAAAACGCCTCATTTTATCTGCTGTACTAAATTTATAGTAGACTGACCTTTTCCGCGTCGGGCAGGAGGTAGGCTTCGACGAACTTCCTGTCGCTGAAGATGTTCTTGTAGACGGCCCTTCCACCGAAGGCGAAGGCGTCGCTGTCGTCCGTCACCGTCCCGTCCACCAGCCGCAGCTGCTCCAGCACGCAGCACTGCGCCTGCGAATTTTTGAGCCGGTACGTGAAGAACGCATGACAACACAGATGGACGGGAAAAACGCCATTCGGAGGGTGCGCACAGCGGAGACGAAAAAAAAGAAAAAAAAGACACAACAATGATGAGGCGGTGCGAGTGTAAAGTGGGTACACCAAGCAGAACGCCGTTGCAGGGGGGGTGTACACAGCGGAGATAGAGGGACGAAAATTACACCATGATGATGATGACGACGCGGTCGGCAGAGCGGAGACAAGAGGGGTAGAGGGGTAGAGCCCGCGTATAAACGAAGACGGAGGGAAACGAAAGTATCCATGGTTGATGCAAGAACGGCCGACTAGGGACAGATGTAGCTGTAGCATGCCAGTCGGCGCCTTCTCCATAACGCAAACAACGGCACAAAAACAAATCGAATATCATTCGCGTGACCCCCGGTTGATGGTAAAAGCCCGAGTGTGCTGGAAGGTGTTGACCTAGACGACCAGAAAAGAAGGGAAATGCAAATACAAGCATAGAGAGATTGCAAATACAAGCATAGAGAGGCAACTATCCCAACATCACCAACACTCGCACACTGCACGTTGACGTCGGGTGAGATGAAAACAGATTCTCTACACGCACAGAAAGAGACTACCACTACAAGTTATCCTTGCCAGCAACACAAAAAACAGCAACAAGCGCACATCTTGCTACCGCAACGGGAACGGGAACGGCATACCTCGGCCTCCATTGGTGCCACCACGTACGGCACACCGAACAGCTTCAAGAGGTCCATCACCTAGGGAGGCGAGCATCACAAAAACGCACAAACGTTTACGTCGACAGCGTTTAACAGACGGCGGCAAAGTCGACCCAAAAAAATGAGCGTCAGCAACAACGTACCTAGTCCAAAGCAGCAAATCAGTTATGAACGGATTGATTCACGAGTCAGTTACAACCCGCATCACTTCAGGGAAGATTATTTTCAAGTGTCGCGTTTCAGGATTCCAAGTAGCACTCCAGGATAGCTCAGTTCTAACAAAAACAGCCACTACTGTCATGTGCGTTCTATCAATGCGTACATGCATACCATCCCACTACTACTGCCCGTCGCAGCTTCCACAGCAGTAGCACCTTCTCTGCTGAGGAGCCACGATCCGGGATACGTACGCAAACACATTCCTCTGCAATGCTTGACTTCGATTCCATCGCAAGAAGGGTTCAGCAAAAACAGATGTTTGTTCTATTGACAAGCCTGATGGAGATGAACGACATCTTTCGCAGGCAAAACGCCGCCGCCGCCGCCGCCGTTGCACCTCACCTCCTCCTTCATCTCCTCCGTGACAGTCTCCGCGTCACGCTGCGCCTTGTTGCCCTCCCGCTTCAGCTTCTCAGACTCCTCCTCCAGCTCGTCCTCGTCCATGCCCTCAAGGTATGACGTGCCCATCACCCCTTCCCCGTCCCCGTTCGCCTCTATCCCCCCGCCACCCGCCGCTGTTCCGACTCGAGAGGGTCCCGGGCGGGTGTCTCCCCGCACCGATGGAGCAAAGAGCGAGTCCGTCCCACCGCCGCCGACTTCATCGCCATCGTTCCCACGGGGGGGAGAATACTTACGGGTAGCCGAGGTCGGCCCTTCCGCGACGGGCTCTCCCTTTGCGCAGGCGTTTTCATCAACCTCGGTCGCGTCGTGACCGCCGCGCTGCCCTTGCCCCAGAGATTCCGCCGCTGCCGCTCGCGGCGGAATCGCTTGCGGCAGAACGCCGACGCGGGCGGATTCACCGCCTTTCTCCTTGGAGGCCGTTACGCCTTCGGCCGGGTCTGGTGGACTTGCTGACGATGATGCGCTCGTAGCGCCAGGCCCAGGCGCCGCTACTGCTTCCCCCGATGCCTCCTCTGCCCCCTCTGGTTCTTCGGCCTCCGTGCGAGGCGGAAAACCCTCGCCTGTTGCCGTTCCCCTGGCCCCCGCCGCCTCTCTGGAAACCCCAGCAGGTGTGCGTTGACCTAGCGGGCCCGGCGGCCCCCGCTCACCGTCGGACTCGGAAAAAACGCTCTCGACGTCCCGATACCCGTCTTCCGCCATGTTCCCCGTTCCCACGGCTCCCCTCCCCTCGTCGTTCTTCCCCTCCGACCCCCTTGCAACCGCCGGTGCTGTCACCGCCGCTGTATCGGCGGGTGCCGTTAACTCGCCGCCGATCTCGGGCCGAGAACGAGACTCTGAGTGAGGGTGTGCGGTACCCTTGGGGTCAGCGGGGGCGTCGACGGCCGCGCCCCGCTGCTGCCGCCCCCGCCCCGCCCCGGGAGAAGGAGGCCGCGCAGCGTCGCCGGACGCCTGACGCCCGTTATCGTTGCTGCTGCTGGTGGTCGCGGTCGTTGGCGCAGCAGTAGATGCGCTGCCGGAGGTCTGACGTCCGATGTCAATGCTGGTGGTCGTGGCACCGGCGTTGCCGCCGGTTATTTCCAAACGACGTCGCTCGTCGCTGGCCGATTGGGCGGCCGCATGGCTGCCTACCCCAGACGCAGCGGGCCCGGTGCGGATGGTTGAGCTCTCGCCGTTCCTCGGACCGGTCCCGGGGACGCTGGCGCTGGTGGTCCGCGCCGCGCGGTGCAAGGATGATGACCCTGCCGCTGATCCAGGAGGCTGAAAAAGGTCGTGTGGCCGTGTGACAAGGCGAGAGGAAAGAGGACGTGGGTAAGGGACCACAGCAAATTATGTATGAACTGAAAGCCGGCAAATTGTGAGTAGAGAAATCCTTCAACGTATTGATGCATAGAGCAATGCTGATCTCCAGTCACGAAAATAATCTGCCCAATTCACAATAAGACTGCGGCCAAAAACAACTGTACCTTGCGCCGAACGCTTCCCTGCAACTGCTGAAAACAACGGTAACTAGCCGCGAACGCTTGCTTGCCTTCCGGTGCTCCTTGAGAACCCTCTCGACGACCCTCCCCGCCCAACCGGCCATCCTCGAAGCCATGTCCACCGACCGCTGCAAGGCTGCCTCATTAGTGTAGCTCGCCGTTGCTCCCTGCGCGGAAACCTGGCAGCAATCGGAGGATTGGGGGGGCTAAACATAGGTGCGTCTAACCCCACGCCAACCGAAGAATAGAAAACAAAGAATATGATGTGCTAGATCTTCGAGCTACTCAAGCCACCGGCAGACGAAACTGCTGTGTCGCAAACTGGAAGCTCTGGACGGCCGTCGAGGTGCCCCAATGAGGTGCTGACGTGATCCACGTGACCTCACGCAACAAGATAGATACAGCGACGAGAGACACACTACAAAATCCCCGCGTCGGTGTCTCAGTCAAAGCAGTAGCACAAAGCAACAATACCAGCATCGATAGAACAGAGAAGGAAGCACCAAACAACAATTGCCCAGAACGCCACGACGTGCCACAACTTCACTATATAATACTTTACCTGAGATGAAGCTCTATCCCTCTCCTCTTCGTCGGCATCATCATCATCATCGTCCACGAAGCCGTCGAAGTCCTCATCGCTGTCCTCCTCGACCGCCCCGCTCCCTGCCCTCGCCCCGGACCCCACATCACCGGTAGCAGCACCGGAAGAAGAAAACAGCTCCATGAGGTCCGGCCGCCCGCCGCCGGCCTCAAGGTGTTTGAGGTCGATGTCCAGTTCGATCTCCGCATCGCCTCCCGACGAGCCGCCTCCTCCCTCCAGTGGACCTCCTACACCGCTCCTTCCACCAAGCGCTTTGGACGGTGGCGGCGCCTGCGCTGCGTTTTTTGTAGCCGCCGCCGTGCCGTCCGCGATGCTTTCAGTCGCTGCGGGCGACCCCGACCTTGCCTTCCGGGCCCCCAGCAAGCCGAGCGGATCGAGATCGTTGGCACCGGTTTCGGGCAACAAGTCGCCCTTTCCAGTAGCGCCGCCGCCGCCGCCGCTGCCGTCGTCGTTGTCGGCGAAGACACCAACGGTAGATACGGAGGGATCGATCTCATCCTGGAGGGTCATGGCGGCGCGCCGGTCCTCCTCTTCTTGGAGCACCCTAGCGATGGCGTCGGCAGCCCCGGAGTCTGGTCCCGGCTGCGCTCTTCTTGCTGCTGGCCGCTCAACATCTTCCTCCTGCTCCTCCTCTTCCTCCTCCTCTTCGTCCTCCTCCTCGTCCTCCTTCCCTTCATCGGCGTCGGCCAGCCGCTGCAAGCGCCGCCGCTTACCCTTCCCGCCGCTAGCAAGGTCATGCCCGATGGGCTTGGGCCTGTGCACGGGGAGCTGGACTCGGCGCCTCGTCCTCCCCTTCCCTCCATCGACGGCCGGCACCTCTGGTCCCGAGGAATCCTCTTCTTCGGAAGGCGGCGGTAGGAACCCCCCGCCTTCCTCCTCACTCACGGAACCCCCGGACGGGGGCTGCCCCGAGGGTTCCTCATCACGCGGGGCCCCCGTGCCTCCGTCTGTTGTCCTTGCGACGGGTGCATCCTCGCTCTCGGGAAGAAACCCCCCCGCTTCTTCTTCTTCGTCGTCATCATCGTCCGTGTCTGCATTGGTCGGCAACGACGTTGGTCTCGCCGTCACACCGCCGCCACCGTTCCCTTCTGCCCCCGCCGACCCCGCGTACGACCACGCCTTGAAGTCGTCACCGTCGTCCGTGATTCGCCGTCGCCGGCTGGAGCCTGATTGGACAGGGCCCACCGTAGCAAGCGGATGCGTAAAAGAACAACGCAGCCACACTTAACGATAGGACGCGGGACACGCCGGGCGCTATAGACGGGCGGAATATTTCAACCACAGCAGTTCAAGCGTAGTTGCAACCTGGTGAAATGCACGTGTCAAAACAACGCAATCACACCGAAAGCACACACGGGACAACGTCCGGCGCTAGATGGACGGAATCACAGCATGCTGATCGGTTTACCAAGAGCACAGGTGATGAACAAGGCCACCTGCTGAAGCTACGGCCCATCATGTTCCGAGGTGTAAAAAGCGGCTTCGACAACGAGGAAGAACCAAACAGTACAGGTGGCGCCCGCGTTTAAGAGACGTCAACCTCGGGTCGAGGTTCAGTGTCATACTTCGTGATCGCTACTGTCGAGCATAGGTCACTATATAGAAGTAGAGGTTAGTGTAGGGTCTACGGCTGAGGTGTGTGTCTTTGTCTTCGTCGCTTTTCCTTATTTATCGCCAAAACCTTAGCCTTAGTGTCTTACTAATGGTATGTTTCTTTATCGCGGGCGCTACTAACTGTAGGTCAAACAGTGGCAACAGAGCTCCCCTTAAGCCCGCACAACAACCCTCTGACCTACGGACGATGCCCCGTTGCGAGTACCCCCAGCTGCCCCGCCGGCACCCGAAACCGCCCCGCTACGTCCGCTTGCTCCTGCCGGAGTCATGATGTACCGGCGTCCCGCCTCTGAGGCTATGCGTTTGCCAGTCCGATCGCTGTCATCCTGCTTCTGGGCTTTCAGAATCTGGAGTTGCAGCGTGTTTTGGTAGCAAGTACAAGGCGTTAAAGTTGCAAGGGGGTTCGTACAAGGCGGTGGGGATGCGCGAGCACGAACCCCGTATTGATCCCAAAGTCTTTCGTTTCCGAACGCACGATTCTACGAAAATTGGCCGACGTGCTGATGCCGGCGTTATACAGAAAGGCCCTCATCGCCGGGATGTTATGGTCTCTTCGCAGCGGTAGGGAGTAATCCGCGGAGCCCCCTTCGTCTTCCTTCGCTCCCTCAAGGGGGTCTGAAACGTCGGAAGAACCTACTCGCAATGACGACGCTCTCTCATCGATCATGTTTCGGTCTCAAGAGTACAACATGTTGGGTAGTGGGTGCTTACCGCCAGCACCCAACACAACGAATCGTCCACCTGCCCGGACCACAGTCTACAAAGCAGCACGCCCGCGCACGTGCGTACCGTATATGACACAAGATAACACACCCCCTTGGCCGATTTTCAAAGCTCGATTTCTCAACAGCAGGAAGAGTCACAGCGCCGAAAACGGCGGCGTTGGAACCGTCTCGTCGAGAGCTGTTCGAAAACGTATTGTTTCATTTATGCATCCTCTTCGTCGTGGAGTAATCGAGCTTTCAAAATCGGTCCAGGGGGCGTGTTATCTTGTGTCATATACGGTAGTTCGGGCGTCACCGCCGCCAGTGGCACCTGTGCGTTCAGCTTATTGGAGCGAAGGAAGTTGGAGAGCTGGGTCTGGCTGTACATGGCCGGGTTCCCCGCCACGGGCATGTACTGGGCACGGCTTCGCATGCGTTGTCTCCGCTTGGCGGCCTCGATGACCTGCTTCTTCACGTGGTCTGGTAAGGAAGCAATGACCTGCCGCACGGTGAAAGACAAAACAAGGCCCCAAAGGGTCCGTATATTCTGGTTGAGCAATGTATGTACTCCGAGTAGCGCAGTATCATGAGAAACCAACTGCCACTGACGCTAAAAAAAAACTTCGAAGTACAAGTTTACACCTGCTAAGCAACCCTGCTACCACGATACAAGTCTGGCGCTGCATTCTTCCTGCGTGTGCAAAGTACAATGGAAACCGACTACCACTGACGCTACAAGGTATAACGTTACACCTGCATAAGCATCCATGACTCACGATACAAATCTGCTACTGCTGTTGTATTCTCCTGCGTGTTGTGCAGAGGCAAGAGAGGGCAACCCACCTCAGGGTCGATGTCCTCGTTCCTCTCCGGGAGCTCCACCTCCTCCCACGCCACGCCCCCTTCCTCCTCTTCCTCCTCATCCGTGTCTACTGCCCACGCAGCCGCCTCCACATCACCCGCCGCCCCTGATCTCCCGCCACCAACAACTCCTGCGGCGCCCCCACCCCTCTCCTCTCCCGGTCTGTTGGTCCCCTCGTAGACTGGTGGATCAAGCATGGCGAGTCGGGCGGCGGCGGGGTCGGCTTTAGCCCTCGTTACGCGCCCGCGGTGTATGAACGGGTCCGTATAGGACAGATGCTGGGGAGGGAAGGAGAGCCTGACGACGTATTTCGGCACCTAATTCGTTTCGAAAACGAGCAGCGTCACAGCAGTACAAACTCTGACCGGCATGACAGTACGAACGAAAAACAAACGGCGTCACAGCACGAATTCTGACGGCGAACAAACGCGGCAAAGGCGAGAATTGAAACAGAACCACCCGCCACCTCCACGACACGTGTGTGGACGCTGAAAACCCCATGGCAAACCATCCCCATCGCCTTTGTCAATCAGCAATGGACATAATGACACGCACCCTCATCCCCGTCGCTATCCACGACGGCGTGCCGACCCGCGCCCAGCACACCCAACCCGTCCCCTCCTTCGCCTCCTTGCTCCACTTCTTGATCCACCCAGTCCACGTCGTCGTCATCGTCGTCGTCATCGCTGTCGCCCGCGGCACCCGCCGCTTCTTCCGGGGAAACCAAGGGTTGGACTACACCGCCCTCTTCCCCTTGCTTCTTCCCACCCCTTGTTGCTCGAGAGGTGGCAGTACCGCCGGACCCCGTCCCTGCGGTGGTGGCGGGAGCGGTGGCGGGGGCGGAGCTCATGTCGCCCCCCTGGTACACCGGGTTGAAAGCGGGTACCGCTGCTTGGGAAGAAGCTCGCTTGGCGGCGCTGATCGCAGCCTGGGCGTTTGCGAATCGCCGGAGGGGTGTGGCAAGGGTAGCGGCTGAGGAACAACAAATCTTCGAGGAGAGTCGCGCAATCAGACAAACACTCTACACGCGCTTCAAGCCATTTGCAACCGCGGTCCGACTTCTAAACCGCTAACACTGTGTAGCAAAGACGTTGGTGAAGGTGTGAACCCCAATGCGAACAGCCAACCAGCACAACACGTCGTCATGCTCTGATCTTCGGCAAGCAAGCCCCAAGAGCACGTGGAACCAACCCGCTACATGAACGCCTCTCCCAGAGCCTAGCCAGACACCTTGTGCTTCTTGAGCTGGGACGCAAGGATCCTTTGTGCGGTCTTGCGGACGGAGGAGTCCGTGCCCTCCGAGCGCAGCTTCCGCCGGGCGGCCAGGGTCCTCGCCTTCAGGGCCGGGGCGCCGCCGTCGAACACGAAGACTGGGCGGATGCGGTGGAACAACAGTTTCACCTGGACCGGCACGAAACGAAACGGTGGACGTTTCAAGAGCCGGACACACAATGAGGCGGCATGTGATAACTTATGAATGTTTGCCTGTTCAACGAGTGCTTCTTCGTCATAGGCCAGCCGGTGTTGTTGAGCTGATGGTCCATGGATGCAGATGTAACCGCACACATGCGTTCTGGGTGGTTTCAGCCTGTGGACGATCATTCTGGCACGAAGCGAGACAGAGAGGGACAGAGAGCGAGAGAGAGAAAGAGAGAGAGAGAGAGAGACAGACAGACAGACAGACAGAGACAGACAGAGAGAGCTAAACCAACCAACAAGCAGGTAGCTGGTAGCTGGGACTCACCACACGGCGCAGAGTTCCGATGATGTGGGCGTTCTTGACGACCTTGCCGTCATCGTCGCGCATGGCCTTGATGAACTGGGTCAGCCAGATCGACACGTCCACCGCCAGTGTCTGTGTGAAGGCGGGAGGGGGGGGGGCGAACTCTCATGTTTTGCATGCCACAGCAGCTACACCACTGACCACGTCCTCGAGAGGACCGAGCATTGTTCTTACAGGACCGATCACGACTGCGAGAAGGAGGGGGTGCTATTTTAATGGTTCGTGTGTGATGGAACATGGTCGGTGTTGGCAAGGGGAAAAATAAAGATTGGATGGCGAGCATGCACACGCGCACATGGAGGACAGCAGTGGGCCGAAACATGAGAGGCATTGTACAGCGGTAGGGATCAACATCGGATGCCGAGGACGGAAGGTAAGCGGTGAGCGTGATTGTGATGAGGATACACAGAAGGGCACGGACTTGGACAGGATTTGTGCAGTATTCGTATCCATGGGCCCCGGCTACTGCAGCAGCAGTGGAGGGTGGAGGGTGACGGTCCCGCAAGGTGTTGGCTTCTATGCATAGGTGGAGCCTCGCCTCCGGTCGACGGCAACCGGAAGAAGGGAGTCTACATACGCAGTAGTGCTTGTACCGTAAGCGGCGGAGAGATGGCACCCCCGTATATAGACCGATCCTCAAAGCTCGATTGTTCCACAACCAAGCACGTGAACACCAAGAATGGTGGTTTTGGATTTTGGAAGCATCTCGTGCGAGATCTTTACGTGGAACGTATCGGGCGCTTTCCACACACTCTGTGTTATGCAGCAATCAAGCAATCAAGCTTTGATTGTCGGCCTCCATCACTCGGCCTCTTGCGGTGGCCGGTGCGCAAGGAGCGGTGGTGAAAGCTCGTGATTTCGTCACCGGTAACACTTTGCCGTGCCATGTGCGAGACATGGGGATTGGCGCCACACAACATCATAAAGATAGATAGCACGGGCTCACAGGTCGCATCACACTAATTACCGCCGTAATGAGCAAGGAACACCAGGCGATCCCTTGCTGTACTGCTGTATGCATACATGAAACAGCACGAGAGCAACGAGAGCGGATTGCAGCATTATTGGTGTGTTCAAAGTTGCAAATATCCGCGTATTTATTTCTACGGCAAAGGACACACACCGACCCTTGGGCCAAGACATAGCCCATCTCATGAGTGTGTTGGTCCCACACTGGCCATGGAAAAGGGAGCAAGGCCGCATTGGCCTCCTCTGCTCCTCTGGGACTCGTATCATGAGGGGGGGGGGAATTGCGGCATGATCGATACGGATACCATTGATGGTACAGCATCAATACACCCTGATCAATACGACGTTCGTTACCACAGGTCAGGCAGGACAGCGGACCTTGGCTCACCTTTCCCGCCAGAGTCTCGATGCTCACGCTCCGTCCCACGGGACTCAGCAGCTGCCATAGATTCTTGATCCCCATGACTAGATACACAAGACACGCGCAGACCGCTCCGCTCCTAAGGGCGTTCGACCGAGCACACAAACCTTCACCAACACGCCGACAAGTCCAACTAGCAGTGTCCCACAGGAACACAGTGGTTCCACCTGTACTCCATCCCCCTCCTCTGTTTTCCTCCCGTGGTTATCTCTTCCTCCTCTATTCCTCCACTAGTGTGGGCTGTCTGGTGCGCGCGTATGTTTTGCGGATTCGCGCAATTCGCGTGTTGACTTGAGAGAGACGCGCGCAGGCCTCCTCTACAAAAAGCTCTCTATGAAACCCCGATTTTTTTATATTTGAGTTTTTGAGGCCTTTGAGCCGATTTCGCGCGCAGCGGGCGCAAAGAGCGTGTGCGCTTGTGCCCAAGGAGAGAAAAGGAGAGCGACAATCACGCCACGCCTTGTGCTCCCCTCTCTCTCTCTCGGGACCTCGAAGCCAACGGTACTGATTCATTTATTTTGCCTTTAGAGGAAACTGCTGCCCTGCGGAACAGGTTACCTATACAAGACATTTTTGCGAGCGACACACACAACGGACAACACCGGGCATCACACGGCCAAAGACAAGGGAGAGGAGTAGCGCGGAGGGCAGAGCTTGGGTGAAGGTCTCCGGGAGGAGCGTAGGAGGAGTCGGCGTGGGCTTGGATGGCGACGCCGAGGCGCGCCGCTGCGAAGGCGGCCGCGGCGTTGGTCTCAAGGAAGGCGTCAATCGGCTCGGGCACTCCGTCTCCCACCAAGCGTGAGGATGATGAGGGTCTTCTGGCGGGGGGCAGAAAGGTGAGGGCAGAGCTGGAGGGAGAGCTTGGGCGGATAAGGGGGCAGTCGAGGTTGATCCCGCAGCGCTTTGGGTTCGGCCAAGGACCGTGTCATGTATAACGCGAACACTTGACATGTAGATTGTGTTCGGGTACATACATGTATCCGAGGAACCGTTGTTTGTCTGCGCCATCACCACCCTCAGGAGAAAGCGAAGGTGGACTGGAGAGATGTAGAGGCAAAGGCGAAGCGGGAGGCGATGTGGCTGCTCGAGTGGAGGAAGCAGCAGGTGATATGCACACGTGTCTGCTGTTGATGTTAGTTCCGTGCGCGTCCTCCTTGGCTCTTTTCGTTCCTTTTTTGAAAGTTCCGCCCCCATGGGTGTCTCCAACAACAGCAGTTATTTTTGTTGCCTCGCACAATCAATCGAATCGCGTCGCCGTCGGGTGAATCAGGCATCAGACTCGACCAAATGCACAGCTGGCAGCAGCAGCAGCACCCAGTTACTGCTCAAAGAGTGCAGCCTGCGAACGTTTGCAAAACGCGGCCATCACTTTTATCCAGTTCAAGACGCACAGCTCTTTAGTGTACAGACGAAGGCCTCTTTTTGACCGTTATTTCTTATTTCTCGGCCGATTGCGCTGTTCTCCTCCGTTGGCCTCGACCGCCGTGATGGCAACGGCCCGCCAAATTGCCAAACCCGCACGTCATGCGTACACAAGCAATAACCCCGGTTTCGCCGAGGTAGGCTTGGTTTGGCGGCGGTACGGATAGCCACCGCCTTTTTCACCGACGATTTTGGTGCTGCAGTCCCTGAAGACGTGGTAATAATGATAGAAGTGCCTTGAGGTGTGCCTGCTGTTGAGTTTTTTTTTTTTTTTTGCCCGACACAACCGCAGCAAGCTTGGCAAGCGTTGAAGGTGCTGTTTGAGTTTTTGGAACCAACGTGTACACGTACTGCTGTAGGTCCTGGTTCTTTTACTGCGGTGGTGCGGTGCTGGTAGCGCTTCATTAAACCCTACAGAGTGTCATGTTTTGGACGCTGGTGAGCATGAGGCAACGGAAGGGCATGAACTATGACGAGCCTGCCGGTCTCAATCTCAATAGCGTGTGCTGCCGAATCAGTGCAGTCGTGTTTCAGAGCCAACCGAAGAACCTCGGATTGTGCAGCGCTATTATAGCCAAGATGGCTCGTTCCACGTGGGTGTGAACTTCGCCCGCGTGCTCGGAAGCAGGGAGTTCCGTGATCGCGTGTGCCTCCTTTTCTGCGCCTCATGTTTTCACAGAGTTCCGCAACCCCCCCCCACGTCTATCCCGCCGGCTGGCTGCCGTCAAGTTTCGTTGTACAGCCGCTGCACTCTTGGCCTGTTTCGGAATCCACGGTGCCGAATCCAAAAAATGGCAGCTGACGCTCTACCGCTGTCCTTCGACGTGTGCGGTAATAGTAGTGCCAGCAGCGGTAGGGTGTAGAATCGTATTCATACAGGCGCACATCGTTGAACCCAGCCTCTCTCCCTCTCAGCCACAAGCTCTCCCCGAAACCACTACGCGTCCCTTCCGCGTTTTTTTTTTCTTGTCTTGTCAGGCGGCACAAACGGCGACGCTTCCTACGCACGAGATGCCTCCTAAGAAAAGGCGAAGAAAATCGTACTCCAGGGATGACACCCCTACCGCCGTCCAAACCACGAGCACAAGCACACCCACTACCACAACCGCTACCACTACCACCACCGCCGTCGAACCTAGCAAGAACGAGCAGCCGCAGCAGCAACAGCTGGAACAGCAGCAGCAGCAGCAGCAACAACAACAGCTGGAACAACAGCAGCAGCAGCAGCAGCAGCAGCTGGGACAACAACAGCAGCAGCAGCAACAACAGCTGGAACAACAGCAGCAGCCGCAGCAGCAGCAGCAACTGGAACAGCAGCAGCAGCAGCAGCAGCAGCAGCAGCAGCAGCAACAACAGCAGCAGCATCAACGACAGCTGCAACAGCAGCAGCAACAACAGAAGAACGAGGCTACCATGAGCGATCAGGCGATGCACGATGTCAAGGCCGTTCCATCGTCTGAATCTTCGAGGAGATCGGAGACGCCGCCGGCCGTAACCTCTCGACAAGTCAACCCGCCTGTACCAAGAAGTGTTGTCCATGGAACGGCGGCGCGAAGAGCGGCGGCGAGCAAGTCACCACTAGCAGGGCTATCGGCAGCAACACTAGCAGCGGCCGCGGCGGCAGCAGCAGCAGCGGCGCAGACAGCGGCAGCAGCAGCGGCAGCAGCAGCAGCAGCCACAACACCAACAGCACCAGTAGCGGAGACTACCCAACACCCGCCCTCAGGGCTGGAGCCCGTGGCGATTTTCCCTCCCGCAACCATCCCGCTGCCGTACACCACCCCACCCGCAACAGCAGCGGCTGCTGTGCCTGCACGAGCACCCGCAGCAAGGGCCCCGCCGACTGCGACACCGGCACCCCCCCGCCAGCAAGACGAGGACCGCGGGGCGAGGTCATCAGAGCCTACGACGAGGGAGCCGGTGGCGACGGTGGTGCTCCCTCCCGTGGCGACAGATGCCACGGGGCCCCCAACACCGATGGAGGTGGTGGGTATTTTCCAGACTCTTGCCTCGCAACCCCGGCTGAACGGCGGGGGCGGTAGAGGGAAGACAGGGCGGCCGGCCTTGTCGACGATCGATCCGGCCACCTTGCCGCAGTCGTCGCCCAGCGCGAAGAAGAACCAACAGCAGCAGCAGCAGCAGCACCTGCAGCCGCAGCAGCAGCGGCAGCGGAGAGAAGAGACGGGGAATGGCGGTGCCACGACGAAAGACCTGAAGACAACAGCCGTCTCCGCGGTGGGAGGGGCCCCGCGGCCGGCAGACCAGACGGGTATGTCCTTGCTCGCCGCGGCGGCCGTCGGCCGGGCGCTGGAGGAGGCCCGGAAGCACCAGACACAGCAGCAGCACCCTCAGCTCGAGAAGGTAAAGTCCCCGTCTTCCTCTCCTCGTCCACACGGCGGGGATGGATCGTTGGGAGCGGGGGGACAAGTCCGATCCAGCCTGGCGCCATCGCTTGTGGACGGTGAGAGGAGGCATGAGGGGGTTCCTGCTGGGAGACATGGGGACAACGCGTGTGTTTTGTTTATCTGGGTCAGCCGGAGCGCTCCCAAACCAAGAGGCTGGGTTGTTGATCTACAAGTAGTTTGATCTTGTTGCCCCCCCCCCCCCCCCTCCTTGTACCTGCCTCTCTCCCGTCGCTTTTCCTCTCTCTCTCCGCTGTTACGCTGATGCTTGCAGGGATAACTGCCGCTAGTGCTCGTGCTAGTGCTCGTGCTGTTGCTGCACGTGAGCCGCCGGTCGCGCGAGCAGAGGGTCTCATCACCGGCGCCAGCGAGCGGGTATCCCCGTTGCCGTGGAGGCCCCACAACCTCCGGTTCATCGTTACCGCTAAGAGCGAGCGGCAAGCCGACGGTGCGGGTAGCGGCGCGTCTCAGCACGGAGAACCGGCCGACCTGCAGCAGCAGCAGCAGCAGATGCAGATGCAGCAGCGGCGGCAGGAGAAGAGACCCGGCGGGATGATGGCAACCGAGGCGTGGTGGCAGGAGCTGCCGAAAATGCCCGGGTTCCCCGCAAGGCAGACCGGCGGCGGCGGCGGCGATGGCAGCGGGGAAGGGTCGGCCTCGCCGGCCGCTTCCTCTGATGCGGCGGCTCGCACCACCCGGGATAGCAGCAGCGCGAGCAGTGCGCTCGCGGGCTCGTGCGTTGGTGTTGAGGAGGGGGGGCGTGGCCCCGGATCTTCTTCTTCTTCTTCCACGACAGCCTTCGCCGGAGCTTCTCAAAGGGCGTCCGTAACAGGAGCCGGCGCCGCCGCAGGGTTGGAGCCACCCGCAGGGGGGCCCGCAGATTGGGGTCAGGGTATGTACTCGTTGAGGTGGCTGCCGGCGGAGGGGCTGGCCGCGCTTCAGGCGGCGGGGGCGGCATGCGGCATGGACCGCGCCTCGTTGGACGCCGCGGGGGCGGTGGCAGAGGCGGCGGCGGCTAGGGCGGAGCAGGAGCGAGCGGCGGCGGCGAGGGCGGAGCAGGAGCGAGCGGCGGCGATAGCAGACAGGGAGGCTTACGAAGCCGCCGCCAATGGTACCGGGCCGGTGATGTGGGGGTACGACGGCTACTACGACGGCGGTAGCGCCGCCGCTGCTGCTGCCGCTGCTGCTGCCGCTGCCGCGCAGCCGAGGCCGAGAGCCAAGAGGAGACCCAGGCGGAAGAGGGAGACGCACGTGCTGGTGAGCGAGAGCGACGAGGAAGGGGTGACGACGACGACCTCGGTGTGGGCGGGGCTGGAGGCTGCCGCCAAGGCGGAGGCGGAGGCGATCATGTCCTACAAGAAGAGGTGAGAATGGGCAATGGGAGGAGTTGGTATATGTCGGTGTGCTTTCAGGGGGAGGGGGATGAGAGCAAAGAGTGCGTTGGTGTGGGTTAAGGGGGAGGGGGATAGGGCAAGACTGTGTGGGCGTGAGTTTTGATGATTGGGGGGAGGAGGATGAAAGCCAAGGATGCGTCGGTGAGGGTTATGATGACTGTGTAGGGGGAGGGAAATACGAGCAAGAGCGTTACGGGTAGTTTGTATACGGGAGGACTTGTGCGTAGGAATGGGTGGGTGTCGGCGTGGGAGTTGATGATTATTTTTCAAGAGGAGGGAGAAAAGAGCAAGCGTTGCGTGTGTTGGTGGATGTGTGGAACAGAGATGGTGTTTGGTGTCGTCGGCACGAGCTCGTTAACGGCATCCGCCCCCAGGTGGCGCTCGTAGTGGGCTCGCAGCTAATGAAAGCGCAGCAGTGGGAGTCATCAAGCGGTGATGCAAGGTTACAAGGGCATGGTGTTGGGGATGTGGCTCGGTGTGTTGCTCGCGGCCCTTGTTTGCGGTCCGTGCCAATCCTCTTGGTTGTTGACGCTGCTGCTGTGTGGACGTTAAGTTTGTGCAGGCGAGCTTCTTGAAGCGGTACATACGTAAAACTGACAAAATTTTCCTCCTTGGGCGCTCTTGGTTAGTTTGTGCTGCACACGCGTGACCCTGCTCTCCTCACGCTCACGCCTCTTTACAAATGTTACCACCGTTGCAAACGATGATGGCGACAATAATGGCAGCGGGATGGTTGAGGCGGAAGCGGACGGCAATCAGCACTGGGTACGGAGATCGGTCAGGGCGGCGGGCTCATCGGCGCTGGATTCCGCTCACGTCGTGAAGCTGCTCGAACAAATACGGTAAGATTAGCAGCCATGCTGGAAATATCCATGGTGAAATAAATTCCAGTCGTAGTCAAAAGGATGAACGCCCACGTGGTAAAGCTGCTCGCACAGATACGGTAAGATCAGCGGCAATGCTGGAGTATCCATGGTGAATCACACGAATTCAAGCTTTCGTCCAAGACTGCCTTGCAACAAGTTTTGTTGGTTTCTCTGTCCATTGCCACAAGGAGGTATGAAGGCGGGGGGGGGCTACATGCCTGTACTGTGTTTTCGCTTCATCTATTCTGGGCGCCAGTCATCTCGTTTAGGTAGGTTGTTTGGACGCACCAGCATGAGGTCACAATGGAGGAACTCTTTGGCCGCTATAATGCTGCTATTGAAACGTTGTTGGTTGTCGCTCATGTTGGTACTGCTATTGTTGATGACGATGTTGCTGTTGGGGGGCTGCTGCTGCCGTTGCCTTCTTTGCTGCTACAGGAGCAACCACTAAAAGACCGCTATTGTTCTCGTTGAAATGTCGTTGGATACCGCTGGTGTAGTTTCTACTTTGTTTATGGCGATGTTGCTGCCAGGCTGCTGTTTCATTCCCTTTGTATCTCTTGTTGATGGTATTGATGATGCTGTGTTGTTACTTCTAGCGTTGATGTCGAAGTTGCTGTAGTGGCTACTGCTGTCGTTGTCTCTGTTGCTGCTGTTGACTACGCATATGATGCTGTGCTGTTTCTAACAGAAATTGCCGTAGTGGCTGCTGCTGTTGTTGATGTGCTGTTGATCATGATGGTGTAATGATGCGCACTGCCGTATTCTGCTATCCCTGCTCATCTCCACAGGGCGAACGATCCAGAGGTGGAGGTGCTGAAGCTCCACCACTACCTGGGCCCAGACGTGAACACGGCGGTGATCGATGCCGTGCTGGAGGCGTTGATGGTGAACGACAACTGCCAGGCCCTCTACATACAGAACTTCAACGAGGGCTTTCGAGATGAGCAGGTGCGTTCTTGTGGTCCGCGAAACGGCTGCTGGCGAACCGAAACCCAAGGAAACCCAAGCATTCTTGCTAATCTGTGTTTTTTGCATTTTCTCGAAGAAATAGAAAATGAAAATGCTACGTGTTGGACCAATATCATTACGTTGTTTCTGTCTTGTGGATTCTGGGCGCCAGTCTACACCTTCGTGTATATGTTTAGCTTATTTTTTGACGAACCAGGAGAGGTCACGGCAGAGCAAGATACAGCACTGGAGTTTTTGTTTTTTTCGCCTTTCCCGCTGTGGTTGCTTTACCTTAATTTGACCGGTCTGTTTTGAGTCCCCTGTCTACGCACACATCTACACACTGAGGTTCAAGATTGTTTTACCGTAGTAGGCGGAGAGATGGCACCCCCCTGGGCCGATTTTCAAAGCTCGATTACTTCACAACCAAGATTGTGCCACCACCAACAATGACAGTTTTGCAAGCATCTCGTGGACGGCTTTCCATAGACATTACGGGCTCGTTCAGGACCTACAGTGCTTGGTTGTGGAGCAATCGAATCGAGCTTTGAAAGTCGGTCTGGGGGAGTGCCATCTATCCGCCTCTTACGGAATACCACGGTACGGTACAGACAATCTTAGTTGTGGAGCAATCGAATCGAGCTTTGAAAGTCGGTCTGGAGGGGTGCCATCTATCCGCCTCTTACCGAATACCACGGTACGGTACAGACAATCTTGGTTGTGGAGCAATCAAGCTTTGAAAGTCGGTCTGGGGGGGTGCCATCTATCCGCCTCTTACGGAATACCACGTTACGGTACAGACAATCTTGGTTGTGGAGCAATCAAGCTTTGAAAGTCGGTTTGGGGGGTGCCGTCTCTCCGCCTCTTACGGTATTGGTACACCGGTGGTGTAGCGTAGTGTGCTGTACGGGACCCCCTTATTTTGCGTTTCTGCGGGTGTCATTTTCCAACGATAACATGACAGCTTGGGGACATGGTAGTAGCAGTACATAACGGCAGAAATGCGTTATCACTTGACAGCAGTATGAAACCATGATGACATGGAAACTTGATAGCTTGATGCAACGCGGCACCCTGGCAATCCTTGAAAGCATGGTTGCACGGCATCATAATGGTGGTCTGACTATCGGGCACGAAATCACGGTACGTTAACCCAGGTGGAGGCTTTGGCGAAGGTGCTGGGCAGGGGCAACATATGGTGCCTCAACGCTGGGGAGAACTACAAGGTCAAGCTCGCCACGTGGTGGCAGTTTGTGGAGGCGATAAAGAACACGAATGTCACGGTGAGTAAACAAATAAAAAATGAGTGTTGTGTTTGA